TTCAAGTGGGCATGTTGTAGCTCACTGGCTTCAATTCTCAGTACACAGCGAGGAAAGACTAAATTATATCGCTAAAAACTTCTTTCACATATTCGTTTAATTTTTAGAAGGGAAATATACCTTTAGTTGAAAGCTGTTTGCAAGTAATAGTGATAGTTTTATAACTAAAAGAAATTTGCTAGGGTGTATTTGAGGTGTGTGAAAAATATGACATATCGCCGATCTGCCATTGAAATACTACAGGGCGTTGTTTGAGTGTTTCTAGTTAGTGTTCAAAAACATCTTCACATACACCTTCTATTTTTATGAGGGGAATATACCATCAGGTGAAAGGTGTTTGCAAGTAATAGTAATAGTTTTATAATTTAAAAAAAAAATTGTTAGTGTGTATTTGAGGTGTGTGAAAATATGACATATCGCCGATCTGCCATTGAAATACTACAGGGCGTTGTTTGAGTGTTTCTAGTTAGTGTTCAAAAACATCTTTCACATACACCTTCAATTTTTATGAGGGGAATATACCATCAGGTGAAAGGTGTTTGCAAGTAATAGTGGTAGTTTTATAATTTAAAAAACATTGTTAGTGTGTATTTGAGGTGTGTGAAAAATATGACATATCGCCGATCTGCCATTGAAATACTACAGGGCGTTGTTTGAGTGTTTCTAGTTAGTGTTCAAAAACATCTTTCACATACACCTTCTATTTTTATGAGGGGAATATACCATCAGGTGAAAGGTTTTTGCTAGTAACATTGATAATTTTTTGTTTTTTGGTTTTTGTTAGTGTGTATTTGAGGTGTGTGAAAATATGACATATCGCCATTGGTGCTTGTGATGCTTGAGTGTTATAGTTCTAAAACTTCTTTCTTTCTTCTTGATCTTAGTATTTGACAAAACTGGAAAGGTGTTTACAACGCTTTGTGATAGTTCTAAACTTTCTGTTCTTGAGGGGTCTGTGACAGTGTCAGTTAACATTCTGTCAATGCCCATGTCATTCCACACATGCAATAAGATATCTGAATTAGTTACTAATGTAAAAACATGTCTCAAAGTAATTTTTTTTTGGAAAAGGACAGCTGATGTTAACATTTGTGTTCTACCGATAGTTTTGCGTTCTTTAACATGTTTGGGGAGGGATGGCCGTGGTGTATCATTTATTCTTTCATTCATTCACATATGTTCTTTTTCTTTTGTTCTTTTTCTTAATTTCTTTCATTCATTCACATAAAATTCTTGCTCTTAATTCATTCATTCATTCATTCATTCATTGTAAAATTCCGACTGATACAATACACTGGCTGAAGTACTGTTAAACGCAGCCGAAGTTGCGCTGGGACCGAACCAAGTCACTGTGTGCGTTGGAGCATGACGAGGCACACGTTAATTAGTACAAATGGTAAAGAAAGCAAGCGAGTGACCTATCCCTGTTGTAGAGTATCCCTGGTTTCACTGCAAACAGACTATAGACGCGGGACATTTGAGGGTCTTAACCAGTGGGCTAAAAATAAATGAAACAGATGGAAAAGAAATAAAAAAAATTGTCATAATTAGAACATAAGGTGTTATAATAAACTCGTAACTCGACCAGAAGTGAGGTATAAGTCAGATGTACCCACACTTCCTCGGTGTGTCGCCCAATACCCCTACTGTTTGAGTCGTGTGGTCTCCTCGGCTAACGCCTCGGAGGCCACACGACTCAAACAGTAGGGGTATTGAGCGGCACACCTCGGAAAGTGTGGGTATATCTAATACTTACTCCACGGTCCGGACTGAGAGCCGGTATTGCCGCCATTGAGCTAAGACAAGGTGGTTGTTTGGCTGGTTGTTGTTTAACGCCGCACTCAGCAGTATTCCAGCTACATAACGGGGGTCTGTACATAATCGAGTCTATACCAGACAATCCAGTGATCACCACCATGAGCAATAAAGATACGATGACACGTGAGCCACGTCAGCGAGCCTGACCACCCGATCCCGTTAGTCACCACAACGACAATTTAAGCATGGGCTGCTGAAGACGAAATCTAACCCGGATCTTCACGGTTTGCTAAAGGACCGTGTGCGTGTGTGTGTGTGTGTGTGTGTGTGTGTGAGAGAGAGAGAGAGAGGAGAGAGAGAGAGAGAGAGAGAGAGAGAGAGAGAGAGAGAGAGAGAAAGGCTAGTGTGTGTGCGTTAGTGTTTGTGTGTGTGTGTGTGTGTGCGTGATATGATGATTATTATGGAGAGGCATGTCTATTGCACTTAAACAGCGAAAGTAAACCCGTAAACTCATAGTGCTAGTCCACTGAGGTACCATGCCGCGGTTTCACATGGTACCCCACCCAAATACGGTATACTGACCCAGTCAGCCCCTTTTTGTCAGACGTTCCATTCACTGAACCGCGAGGTGGTTAACCTTTTGAGAGACGAGAGAGAGAGAGAGAGAGAGAGAGAGAGAGAGAGAGAGAGAGAGAGAGAGAGAGAGAGAGAGAGAGAGAGAGAGGCTAGTGTGTGTGTGTGTGCGTTAGTGTCTGTGTGTGTGTGTGTGTGTGCGTGCGTGATATGATGATTATTATGGAGAGGCATGCTGTACAATGAAATCATCATCATCACCCCTACACCCCGCCCCCAGCCATAAATTATGAACGATCCCTAAAACGAAATGACAGTCCATAAAAACCTTCTGGTACGGCTTGCAGGACATGATTATGTGTGGAGTAACAGTTGTTTTGGTATTGGTTCTAGGATAACGGTATGTGATGACACAGTTGTTGCTTTTGTAATGTTTCACACATCGCTTTTGTTATCAGTTTTCGAATTTTTCAAAAGTTCCTACACAAATTATTGTCACTTATTGAGAAACTCAGTCTTTCGTGGTAAGAGCGTTGGCTCGTCACGCCGAAGACCCGAGTTCGAATCCCCACATGGGTACAATGTGTGAAGTCCATTTCTGGTGTCCCCCGCTGTGACGTTGCTGGAATATTGCTAAAAGCGGCGTAAAACCAAACTCAGTCAGTCAGTCAGTTCAGACACTGTGTATAGCGCAAGCGAAGCCTACCAAGGAGACCTGACTGGTTCCCCATTACCAGCTGAGCGATATACTCATGTTTGCGGCAAAACTCAACTCTCAGTGAGTATATGGTATGTATATGGTATAAGGTATTCCACTACTTTACGGCTTGACAATCAGGGACATTTCAAGTCTTACCCATATGAGGACCTTGACTCGGGCTCGGACCCATTCGTCACCACTCGCCCCTTCCCGTAACCTCCAATGTTACCGTCTCGATGCTTGTTATGTGCAAAAATTCGACAGACCAATCAGACGCGCGTAATGATTGTGGTGCTTTGATAATAATAATCCCGAGTACTTAAATCGTTTATAGCACAATGTCATTGTTTAGAAAATCATGAAAAATATGTATCATTAAATTGAAAGTACAAAGAGCGTAGCTAACGGAACTGTGTTGCCTCATGGGATATTTTTAAAAAGGATAATGCCATGGACGTTGGGGGATTCAAATACACGCACGTGCGTTTGTTTGCACAACGGCTCTCCTCTTTCCAGTTGAATGCTTTCTGGCGATTTGCGGGCATGTTCTGGAGATTCTACGTACGCTTCAAACGTATTTTAGTTAATGTAATTATAAATAGCCTTGAGTTGCAAAACAATATATTTTTATATAAATAACTCAATCACCTTGCTTACATTTCACGTCATTGTGTATATTTTAGGTTCTTTGGTTCTTCATATTTTGTCAGCGTATTCATCATAAATTCCACCTGGGGTATGGCCGCAAGGTTACATGCAAGCTCAAAAAACTGGTTGATACGTTTCGCTCCACAAATTCTCCTTTTCAGGATATATGTTCAAGTAATTTTGTGTATTTATTATCATTTATCACAGCTAGATGTTATTTTAATTGCCTTTTCAGGTAGAAAAAAACATGTGCGATTCGGAAGCCGTATTTGGGAATATAAAGTGAACAGCTGGTAATAATTACATAAGACTGACGGACTGAGTTTGATTTTACGCCGCTTTTAGCAATATTCCAGCAATATCACGACGGGGGACACCAGAAATGGGCTTCACTCATTGTACCCATGTGTGGATTCGAACCCGGGTCTTCGGCGTGACGAGCCAACGCTTTAACCACTACGCTACCCCACCGCCCCAATTACAAAAGCACGTGTATTCAACAAATCATCATTATTATTATTTATTTAACAGGTCAAAAAAAATTAAAAGCAGCAATTTTCGAGTGCTTCTGTATTGTTTATCACAGTTGGAATTGAGTTGTCGTTCTTGTTTAAAGTAGCTCTGATGTTCATACGCCAATATGAAATGCTTCCATAGGGGCACGAGTCGCTACTCGGCTTGTCCAGGAATAATACGAGTTGGTCACGAATGATATGCCAATATGAAATCCTTCCGATAGGGGCATGAGTCGCTCTTCGGCTTGTCCCGGAATAATACGAGTTGGTTACGATGGCTCAGACACAGGCCTCCAGGCGCGCGGGTGTGGGGTGTATGTGTGGGGGTGGGGGTTGTAGCCTAGTTCGTCCGTCACGCCGAAGGCTCGTCTTCGATTCCCCACATGGGTACAATGTGTGAAGCCCATTTCTGGTGTCCCCCTCCATGATATTGCTGGAATATTGCTTGAAGCGGGGTAAAAACATATTCACTCACTCTAGGCACGGCTGTTCCTCGTTGATTTGAGGTAAATAAACAGAATAACATAACAACAACATGATGTTTAATGAGGGTACGTTTATTATTAAAACCTGATTCTGCTGCAGCCAAATGGACAACAAAATCTAACTTCACAACGAATAAAACTAGTTAAATCCGAACTTATAAAAAAGCGCATACATATCCGACTTCGGCATATAGGTGGTATATCCGACTTCGGCATATAGGTGGTATATCCGACTTCGGTGGCATATCCGTCTTCTGTGTATCGACATATATGCTCGACATCAGTCTCTCCAATTTTAGTACTAAGCAAGTACATCCGATGTCAGTTCATCGTCTTTACATCCATTATCAGTATAATGGCAGTATATCTTACACAAATAGCAGGCAATTGTAGAAGTTTGCTTCACAAAGGATTACCTGTTAACTTGATATCCTTTGGATACCTCTTGGTCACCACTCACTTGATATCCTTTGGCTGTCTTTTGGTAACAACTACCGTGAAGTCCACGGGCTTGAGAGTAAGGCCATACTTGCTGTCGATCACAGGAGCCACACCTAACGGGCTCTCGAACTTACATTTCAGCATCATGGTAGCAAAGAACAGAAACAGTTCCATCTTTGCCAACTGTTCCCCGGGACATCGTCGACGGCCGACTCCAAACGGGAGGAAGAATTCAGTTTTTGCCTTATCAATTCGGCGTCCAGTGTCGTCAAGGAAACGGTAGGGGTCAAACCTGTCTGGATCAGGAAACAGGTCCTCGTCATGGCTGACTGACCACATGTTAACAAAGATCAGCGTTTTATCGGGGATGTGGTAATTCTTCAGTGACGTGTCCTTTGTTGTGCTGTGCGGCAAGGCGAAAGGGAAGATACAAGAGTGACGCATTATCTCCAAAAGGCAGGCCTCCGTGAATGGAAGATTGTTCATGTCCTCCAGATCTAGCGTTCCGGTCAGAGCAACGTTAGAACTAATCTCTTCGTAAACTTTGTCTTGGTGATCCGGATAAGCCATCATGAACAGAACACTCCACTGCAGAGTACTAGCTATTGTGTCAAAACCGGCACCGATAAGTTCTTGAACTGTTGTCAAGATGTGTTCATCCGTCAAACCCACTGCTTCCTTCTCTTCATCTGGTGTCTCCTGAACCGCCCGAATGAGAAGGTCGGTGACGTCCCTCGCAACGGCGGGGTCGTAGGTGTCTAGGTGCTCCTTCTGTTTCTTGACGCAGAAGGCGGTCATGGTGTTCAGGATACCCACAAAGGTGTTGAATGAACGGAACGTGAAGAACCTGACCCACGGCATAATATCCACAGGGTTACCGGCCCCTGCAAACGCCATAAACTCATCGTTCATCCTTATAAGCTGTAGGAAATCAGGATCATCACGTTTGTATCGTTTACCAAAACACAAGGCACATATGATGTTTCCTACCGATAGGTAGATCTCGTTGTGCGGATTTACAGGAGCCCCGTTTGATGCCAGGAGGTTAGAAACCAACACCTCCGCTTCGGAAACGATAGATTCCTCGATAGGATTGGTTTTCTTGTTAATGCATCCAGCCAAAGCGTTTTGCGCCAGACGTCGATGCATCTTCCAACGCGGGCCGTAGTCACCGAAACCCATGCTCTTCCCGTTTCCTATGAATTTGAAGGAGTAAAAGTCGGGCCTACCAGCAAACTCCTCGGCTTGTTTTACGAGCGCCTGTTTGATTGTATAAAGTCCATTTAAGACAACTGTCTGTCGACTGCCAAGAGTTATCTTGTAAACGTCTCCGTATTTTTTCCTGAGCTGCGTTAATGTAACGTGGGGCTTTTTGCCGAGCTGAGGGAGGTTGCCGATCACTGGCCAGCCCCAGGGCCCTGGGGGAGCATTGTCCCCTCTTCCCGCTGGGGACCGGCTCAATATAAAACAAACCAGTAAGATGATTACACACACGCATAGAAGCGGGGACAATGACGATAGATGCACGTCAAACAAAGATGCAACTGCTCCAAACATGATTGAAAATCCTTCTTTTAAATTGACAGAGTTTCTAATCCATTAAATCAATGTGACAAAGATACGGAACATAGTCACTCACTTAATACACCTCGTGGTGACTGTCGACCATCTCTCCTTCTTGGGCGCCTGCTAGTCCATGTAATCCTTTAAATAGCTTTCACGTCCTTGCTAGATGCATAACACGAATATGTAACGTTCTGTCACGACTCGACGTCTCCAGATGCAACTGATAACGCGGTAAGTGTCCAATCACCAAATGACAGATTACCTCATCAATCCAGTGATGTAACTCTCCAAAGTCAGTGATCTAGTTGTTCCTCTTGTGTCGGTAGATATCGCTCATGAAGACGCAACTGTTACTGGCGCTGTCCACGGCTATCTATTGCCCTGTCGACACCAGGAGAGTCGGACGACAACTGAACGACAACTGTCCTGCATCGTCCACTTGACCTGTCCACTGACTTAATATTCCGTTTAGGGGCCGTTTGGGACCATGTGATTAGCCCCAAACATGGTTAACGTATCTCCAGGAGCCCGTTTCATAACGATCGTACTGAGTGTCATGCCTGAAGTGCTGTCCATCCATGTCTTACTTCAATTTGTTTCACTGTTTTCAAGGCGTCAAAATAAACTGATTTATTCTGTGGACGGGTACATTTGATTGGATTGGTAACTTGATTAGATAAGCGATTTATTCAGCGTGAATGGCAATGTTGAACGTGTATTTACTGGAAAGGCATTGTTTCATTATAATCTAGAACAAATTTTATGGATATAAGCTTCTTCATTTCGTGAAGTTGTTATCCATAAAGTGTGTTCTATATTGTACTCTCAACTTCTAAAATGCCACTCAAACAAGGTATTGTTTCACTCTATACGTTGTTATGTTTGAACAACGCGATTGTGTCATATGTGTTCTGCATTGTAAGACGTTGAGGTAAAATACCAGCCCAAATATCACGTTTACTGCTAACCAAGTCCCTTTCAAAATATTTTATGTTCGTTCGTGTTTATACCCGTTATTTTCAGTTTTACTGTTTTCGAATGTGAATTTCTTCTTCATCATAATTTAATATTTTCTATAAGTGCTATAGATGAAAAACAACACATCTGTATTAACCGTCATGCAGACCTTTGAGATATTTTAAGACTCAGTACGATGACCTCTTTGTCCAGCTCAGCGTCCAAGTAGAGGGTAAAGTGGACAATAGAGGTAGTCATGTTACCCCGACGTGATATTCAACAATGGACTGGGCATACTTGGCAATTACAGGTGGGCAGTCACGTGACGGCCGTGACGCGAGAAATGAGATGAGTTACCCAGTACAGCTGCACTGCTATCAGGGGGGTCTTCCCACTGACCCAACTCCTATCGTTTCAGTAGAAGAAATCACTGGGGTGTGATAATCACCTTTAATCCCTTATTTGGTTCCCTGTGAAATAGTATCCGGGGCCAAATGGGATAAAATGCTACTACGTTTGATTCAATGTTTGTCTGTATTTATTAATTATATATATACAAGTTATCCATTTATACAACTTAATACAACATCATATCACATATTATACATCAATATTTCACAGCACACCTTTCACACTTACCAGTTAAATGTGACACTGAGTCTCTTGTACATTTCCAAAGCATGGTTCAGTGCAACTCGTCTTCTCTCCTAGGTGGAGGTCTGGCACCGTTTCTTAGCTGAAGAACGCATGCCTCCACCCAGCCTTGTTCCTTCTTTAAAAAGCCAATGGCCTTAATGTCGGGGTGGAAAAAACAGTCCTTCGTCTGGTCCCTAGTGTGGTGATCTACTTTCAGTTGGTGACAATCTGTAGCCTGTTTTTATATTGTATTGTCCAAATAGTGTTATTAGTTTTAACTTTCCACACTAGATTTAAATGTAATTGTGATATTCTAATTGTTTTACTGTCCTTTGACGACAGGGTTATATAATATACACTTATTCCATTCAATATCAAACATGTTCTCGTCACGATATGCCCGAAATATTGCCGATGTGACGTAAATATTAACTCACTCACTCACTCTTGATACTGAACCTACAGCCCCTGTAGACCAAGTACTGATCGCCGTGTCCATTGGGAATGAAACAAGTGTTTACGTGAAAGTTTGCCATAGTGCAATGGAGAAACAAGAAAATCTCCATACTTTATAATACTTGTCGTTGGCATAGTTCACTTAATTAAAATTCAATTTGTAGCAAATTATATGAATATGGTTCATATAGTTTATCTTGTGAAATATGTTCACCGGTGGTCATGAGGTTGCTCTGATCGGCCCTGATTGGAGTGCTGGGTGAAATTGTGTCACAACCATAGCAGGGGTAACAAATTCACCCTGCACAATCACTGACCCGTAACTGTTAATCTCTTTTAATCCCTCCAGCAAGTTGGGTAAGTGGAAATGAGCCCTATCAGGGACCACTTCACCGCAAATGCAAGGAACACATACTGCCTATCGCCTGAATGCAAGCGTGCGTGCGTGTGTGTGAGTGTGTAATGGGTATGAAACGTGGTTATAAATAAAATATAGAGGTTATTGAAAGCAACTTTCATGATATCATAGTCATCAGCAACCGACCTCTCACCCGATTAAGCTCACATCTTCACCGGTGCAATTCAAGTTATGGTTGTGATTACATTTGATCTTATTCACGAGTCAGAAATCGAGGATTTACATTGCTTATGTTTCCGTCGCACATGTCACGATTGCACCACATCTCGATGTGAAACGCTACTCATCTTGATCAGGTAATCTCACTAATCATCAGCCTTCACTGAAACGTTCAGTGAAATACCTTTGAGTGACACATTACATCCCTGTATCCCCCGTGGGCACTACGGGTTAGAACAGGTCCCCAGCAACCCATGCAGGTTGTGAGAAGGGACGAAATGGATCGGGTGGTAAGCCTCGGTAATTTGATTGATGGCGTGTCAAGGCACCCCGCCGGCGTGATTCACTGTGACAGATGGCCTTGACATTCAAGTGATCTGAGCAGATCCGCAGAAACGAAATTGGGCCATCCGATTGGTGGAAAATATAATATACTGTAAGATTTTGACTGTTTGCTAATGGGCGCTAAATATGAGCTTTGCAATCATCCTTTATTTTGGATGATGTACGGAACAATAAATTGTTAAGAATAGTTTTAGAGGTTGTAAAAATGCATTGGATATTGATTCCTTTTTAAGAAATTATATTTATAAATATTTAACCTCTAAAATTATTCTTACAAATTTACTGCTCAGGTCACTTGAATGTCAAGGCAATCTATGGCCGACAAGTGAGTATGATTGCCGATGGTTTTGGAGAAAAATGCCTGCTTACTGTCGAGGAAATGATTTGTAGATGTTGCAATAAGTTTTTCGACCCGTGGAATGGCGCTGCTGATCGGATCTAGCCGTACATAGGTGCTGTCAACGTGGCTGGAATTAATAAACGAATTTAAAAAGTGAGTTTTCGTTGTCTTGGGTGATCCATGATTTTGGCTTGGAATTGCGGAGGTAGCTGTTTTCTGTGAGTCGTGGCGTATAACTTTTGAAATAATGATCCGATTGTGACCATTTAAAGCTCATTTTGTAGGGAAATCATCTCGCGTTTGATTCGTAGGCCTCGACGGGGCCATTAAAATAGTTTACGTGGTGAAATATAACTTAGATTGAGGAGGGGGTGGTTCCGTGGTTACATCCCTTTCCTTTTATACAGTACTAGGGTAGGGTCTATATACCCATATGTCTTTCTACCGCTGTTTCTAAGCGTGACATGCCCCTGTGTAACTGCGTGTATAGGGTTGATGAACGGCTGATATGCATATACCTTGCGAAAATTTGTCCGGTACACAATTATGGATAAATACTTCAGACATAACAATACACAAAATATTTCAGCGAATGTGTAGCAGAGACGACATAGGCAAGTGTCAAACTATACACTGACTTGTTCCCAAACAATATATTTATTAGTCGAAAAAATATGACACATTTGTAAGACATTATCTGTATATGAAATGTTGACAATGTTTTAGTGTAACACGTCAGGAAGATGCAAATAGTTGCACATAACACTACTGCGCATATTAACCCAACAAGCATCTTTGTATAATGTCAGTTGTATGCTTCACTCGAAGGCAATACGGTCTGGTGTACGCCTCTTTGTAGCAGTGTCACCCGAGCCGGTAGCTGCTTCAGTGTTACTTATGTATAAAAGTAGAATGTTATTATAACGTATGCTATTACACCACCCACCTTTTCTCTAAGTTTTACTATGTTTGTATAGACTCATTTTGTCTATGCAATGTTTTATGGATTTTATGTGTCTCGTAGGCCTGTAAAGGCCGGGTAGATGTTTTATATGAGATATTGAAGATTTTATATATTATGTAAACATTATAAAATAATTCTCTCTCTCTCTCTCTCTCTCTCTCTCTCTCTCTCTCTCTCTCTCTCTCTCTCTCGCACACGGTCCTTTAGCAAACCGTGTAATCCGGGTTAGATTTCGTCTTCAGCAGTCCATGCTTAAATTGTCGTTGTGGCGACTAACGGGATCGGGTGGTCAGGCTCGCTGACGTGGCTCACGTGTCATCGTATCTTAATTGCTCATGGTGGTGATCACTGGATTGTCTGGTATAGACTCGATTATGTACAGACCCCCGTTATGTAGCTGGAATACTGCTGAGCGCGGCGTTAAACAACAACCAGCCTCACCAGGTGGGGGTGAGAGAGAGAGAGGCGGATCCGCCAATGCAACGTACACAGAAATACAGACATTCGTCATCAAAAGCATTATAATAAAACAGTGAACGCACTCGTAGGCGGATATTTATAATGGATAACACAAACCTCAACATTGTATCAAAGCATTAGGAAAGTTAAATACAACTCAATGTTGATCAGAGCCTTCATTATTTTTTAATAATTCTTCATGACTGATGCCACACAATTTCACTTCAAAAGTATTAGCCAGAAGACGAGCTACTTCAGTTGTCGGCAGTATATAGCCTGTTTCTATATTGTATTGTCATCTAAAGTTTAAATGTTTTAGATTTAATTACTAGTTGTAAAATTTACATCTGTTATACTCTACGTATTTTACTGTCCTTCGTTGACAGGTGTTTAAAATTTACTTTTAATTTGTATAAATCTATAACTTGATTTAGTCACCATATTGCTGAAATATTGCGGGTGTGAGTTAAAATCTTAACTCCCACACTCACTATCTATTTACTGGATATGTGAAGTACATCTGCTTCAAGGCTCTTTGAAACTGTAATAAGATTAAACGATTCGTGGAATTTTTTGTTCGTTGGTATTTCTGTTAAACGGCGTACTCTGGAGCATGTAAGCTGTATTACGAAAGTCTAAAATAGCCTATCTGTGATAATCTAGCTATTTTACTGTCCTTCGTCGGCAGAATTTTATAATTTCACTTAAATTGTTGATATATTTATAACTTGCTTTAGTCACGATATGGCTGAAATATTGCCGATGTGACTTAAAATCTTAACTCACTCACTCACTCTAAAATAGCCGAGTCAGGTCCAAATCATAATTATAGTGATTGACATCATGATCATCGACCTATGCAGTTGGGATATGATGACATGTTTTAACCAAGCCAGCGAGACTGATCACCCTATCCTGTTAGTCGCCTCGCTTTCATGGAGACGTAGACAACGTGCTTCGTAGCGTGGTGTAAAAGATATATTGGCCCTGCTCAGAAATCCACGTATAACCTCTTTTTCTTTCGTAGCGTGGTGTAAGATATATTGGCCCCCACTCAGAAATCTACGTGCAGCTTTTGCTTATCGTTCGTAGCGTGGTGTAAAAGATGCATTTGCCTCGATCAGAAATTCATATACAGCCAGCTTATCGGGTCAAGAAATATAATTTCACATTCAGAAATTTGTTTGCTCAAAATCACCTGAACCAATCAGATTTATAAAAAAATGCATATGGCAATAAGACAAAATAACACATTTAAGATTCAGTGGATGAAAGTAAATATTTTATAATACATAATATACATAAACATGACGACTAAAACTGGGGGTAGTGTATATACATGTATGTATCACCCAACAGGCTACGTTATACGCAAAATATCAAATATAATACAGTATTGATTAATGAAATCCATAAAATAACGGTCTAATTCGACTTCATTGTGAGGCATCTGATTGAAACAATTACAACATGGCTAGATGGATTGATGGACAAAGTCGCTGTTGAGATGTACACAATGAAATGTATATACAACGTTAGTTCATTATATACAGCCAGGTTGTGTATTTTACGTGGAGCAATGTGGATAAAGTAGACCTGTCCAATATATTCACATTTCTGTGGGAACAAAGGGAGGGTACATTTACGTGCGCTTCAGGGAGATACATGACCCTACAATATGTCACGTGAATGACAAGTCGTGACGACTGCACAGTTTGGCACAATATTAAACCCTTCTAAACTCATATACAACCTAACTGGTCTAGGTACGTTCAATTCTGTTATTTAAGCACTGTACATTGTTTTGGTCAATGACATTCACCCTAGACCAGAAGTATTTTAGCTGACAGATTGTTTTCTTTAAATGATGTTTTTAAATTTAATTGAATAAAGTTAAGAGCAATTCAGAAACAATATTTATAACTTTTTATAGTTTCACTATTTTCATTATTTCTTAAACAATATTTTAAAATTGACAATTAGTCTGATAGAATCAATCAATTTTTTGGGTCGTGAGTTTCGTTTAACGTCGCTCTGAAGAGCATTTCAATTTATATCACGGCTTTATTCTCAGTTTGATGTTGGAGAAAATCCCGAAGTGATGCCGGTCTAAGAGGTTTACGGGGGCGGTGGGTTAGCCTTGTGGTTAAAGCGTTCGCTCGTCACACTGAAGACCCGGGATCGATTCCCCACATGGGTACAATGTGTGTAGCCCATTTCCGGTGTTCCCTCCGTGATATTGCGGGAATATTGCTGAACGCGGTGTAAAACCCAACTCACTCACTCCCTTAGATATTCACAACTTGGTGCAACCAATGAGCATTGGTATGCCGCTGATACAACAAGAAACACTCAGGGTGAATGGAATTGGAACTGACGATTCATAGGTTTCTGCCATGCCAAAGGGAGGCAACTGTTTCCACCGAATTGCGGTGCTTTAGAAAACTCCCGACAAAATAGATTCCACAATAGCTGCGTTTGTATTAATGTGCAAACACTCCTCGATTCTTTTCCAAAACGGGTTTTGTCTTATAAAGACGGTTTACGTCTTGTTTCATGACCCCTTATTTTAGGCTTAAACTATTTTTGTTTGATCACATTTTTGGAAAGTAGATATTTTATTCAAAAGGAATAGCCTTATGAAATTTAAAGTGAGTGAGTTTGGTTTTACGCCGCTTTTAGCAATATTACAGCAATGTCACGGCGGGGGACACCAGAATGGGCTTCACACATTGTACCCATGCGGGGAATCGAACCCGAATTTTCTGCGTAACAAACTAACGCTTTAGCCACTATATTACCCCACCGCCCCTTATGAAGTTTAAAACTACTTACAACGAATATTGTAAATTATCCACAAACATAGGTACAGTAGGTCGGGGAGCAATCCCACACTCTCACATCCTTATCATGCCAATTGTTTAATCTCTTTGGTAGTCCGACCTTGGACCCGAAGATGTATAGTTTGAATTCCATAACGGGACTAGTAAGTATTATAGCAGTTACATACTCTCTCTGAAGCAACTAATATAGGATACATACAGCATAGTGTCACCCGATATTCACGACTTGTCAATCCGGAACTTTGTATTACAAAGGGAATGTCACAGAGTATGGGGTCTCACTCAACATATAGGAAATAAATTCATTACCTGTATTTACAATCCTGAAATTAAAGATAATATTACAAACACACACTTAAAACAATCAAATCTAGAATGAAACATCTAAATCCAAGATTCACAGATTATCATTATCAGCAATTATCACAGATTTCTTTGTAGGAAAATACATGTATTATGTACAACATCCGGAACACGTGCTCGTGCCGATGAATATATATCTGAATATATGACCATATCCCAAGGGCAGTGTTGACAATACCTCGCTGTCTGAACAATGTAAACATCTTACGTCACATCATCACATGTCCTAACATGTGAGACGAAATCATCCTAAGTAATAATGTGTGGTAATAATTTGTGGAAACAAATGTCACTGTTGAATACAAATGTGTCTACTCAATTCTCAGTTCTGTGGTTTTAAACATGTCAGTATATCTCTCAGATGATGACAACACTATATTCATAACAGAATGGCCATATATTGAAAAAAAACTGTATATAAACAACAAAATAAATTTAATCGAAGTTTACTTGAAGGAATGATACACTAAAGTCCGCTATCACAATGCATGTATACGATGAAGACATGTGCAGCTGCATGTTGTGATCAACGGTCATCTGTCAGATTCGAAAAACACGTCTAAAAATACAAGAACTAGTTATGAGGACAACGATGACTAAATAGAGAATTTCACCTGATTGTCTTTAAATAGCAAATATATCAACACGAGTAGATTAAATTTAATATTCATACTTTTATTAAAGAGTTTGATATTCTTGGCATTAAAAGACATTAGGGTCTATTGTATCTATCATCCAAGATCGTTCTTATTTTTGAGTGAAACTCCGTGTCCTATGTTTAAAAAGAGCTAACCAGGTTATGCACTTTGACTGTGACGTAAAGCAAACGATGACGTCATGATGGTCTGTAAAGCTTTAAGAGCTATTTCATTGCAGCTACATCTATGAAATATCGCTTTATCTATCCAAAGTCATATCTCCTGTGGAAGCCATTTTGGGATAATATGGGGTAAATACTGCATCTTCGATAATCTCTACAAAACTATGCACTGATATCTGTATCACACTTATTATTTCATTCTATTACACAACAGACTTTAGACGACAATTATTTATGATTACCAAAAAGAAAATTGTGTAGTCGATTACATTAACATTTCTTACAGAAAAAAGGTTTACGTTTCTCACAAAATATACAAATTTAGGACTCTATTCGTGGTCTGCTTCTAAATTATGGTCAGGACGCTGTTTGTTAATAATCCATTCAAAAACATGTCACCACTCATCAGTGACGTGAAATATATTATTCATTTCTTTCAGACATTTTTGCTCAAACTTACGTATCCGATATCTATCGATAATCGATCGATATTAAGTTAACGATTATCGAACCCTATGATCTATATCGATAGCCTGCCCGACACACAGCCCGATCAAATTGCTCAAGATAAACACAATCATTTATAACATAACACGTGCTATGCCTAAGACCGTGATGCGAACTTTCCTCTTTTGACCCTTCGAACAACTCTGACCACGCCCTTCACCATGCTGATCATATCGGTAAGGAGTAATAGGCCAAGCACGATGACCAACATGATCCACGCAGAGTGACCAATTGCCTGAGAGGACGGTCTTTTGTCCGGTGCACTTATCAACTTCCGCTTCTCCTTCGAAAGTGTGTTCTTGTCCAATAAAAGCTCTACTCTAATTCGTCTTGTAATTTCCTCTAACTGCACGGAATTCAAGTTGTTCGCACCACAGAAACACAATGGCAGACATGTTGACGTTACGACTCGTGATGTAGAGGATGGACTGACGATGCCAGAGGACCAGATTGAAGACGAGGGGTACAGAGGGGTGGATGTTGCTGAGGTTGTAAGTTGAGACGAAAGTGGTGCTGTGTATGATGTAGATGATGGTGCGAATGATGCCGATGACGATGACAATAAATATGGAAGGGATGAGGATGTTGCTGCTAATACTACAGATGTAGAGGAGAATGGAAGAGTTGATGATGGAGAATATGAAGAAGATGAAACTGTAGAAGAATAATATGAAGTCAACAATGACTGTGAAGAGGTTGGTGATGGTGCGACAGCTGTATTTGAGGACTGTTCAGAAGATGACCATGAAGAAGGGGGAGGTGAATGATGTTGGTAATGATAATGTTGTTGCTGTTGTTGATGATGATGATGATGATGGCGTGACGCTCATTTCTGAAAGTACAAAAGAGATTAGGTAAAACATGACCGTCATTTCTGTAGCTAGCAATATAACAGCGTTCTCAATAATGTTAATGTATGTAAGCAATTGAATCTGGACAAGACAGCCAATGATGAATGTTAAAAAGCAACACAAATTATCCGCGAAAAGTAGGGTTATGTGATTTAATGATAATTTACCATTTGATGATACATAATACATGTGGTTGTTATTCATTGTCAAATGTTCGCGAAAAGGTCAGTGGCAAAACAGACGCGGATACATTCGACATTCTCTGTTGATTCTACTGAGTTTGAATAAACGCCTTGGTTCCGAGTTTTTCAAGTCTTTTCTACTTATCAAAGAACCATATTTCTGTTTAACTTTATAAAGGATTAGAACGTTAATCGACTAAAACTGTGGTACTCGAAATACTCCTACTATGTCGAAAACGTTTCATGTTCCGTGTGGGCTACCGCACATGCATAGGTAAGTGTGTAATTTGTACTTCATGTCAGATAAGTTCCTTACCAACACAGTTGAGTGTGATGCTTGTCCAACTCCCGCTGTCCTGACAATGAACGTTCTCTGAGCCGCTTGCAGTCACGTAGCCATCAACGCATACATACACTGCGGTGCTTCCGCTCAGCGTCGAGTTATATGTTACGTTCATGTGGTTCTGAGTAGGCGGGCTGCCGCAGTCAACTGTAATAATATTAATAATAACAATAACGACATTTGGACTCGACAAATGCAATACCCTTCATTTGAAATGTATCAAGGTATGAAATTATGGATTGGTGAAGGTACAAGGGAGTGGAGTTATTGAGCATTTTGTGGAAGATCAGGCCCACACCTATCAGGCCTACACCTAGTTCGAGACAGCTCCAGGATGTCCAGATCCACGACAAACATCGGGCCGAGTATTTACTCACGTTAAAGAAGATCTGTAGCTCAGAGCTAAATACTCGAAACAAGATCAAAGCCACCAATACTCTTGCTTTGCCAGACTTTTTCAGACAGACAGACAGACATATTTATTCAGTAATGTGGGCCTAACGGCCTATAATTCAATTGAAACTTACAATATTTTGCAATGCCACGTGATAGTTTCATATATAATGTTTAAACAGATGTTTAAAAAACAGAGCAACTGATTTAATAACATTAAAATCTTTGGAGTGTAATACATTTATCATGCTTTGTTCACATTGGGGCATGGCATTCAGCTGTGGCAAGTACTTTTTCCGAATTTCATTATATTTTGTACATTGCACAAAAACATGGTATTCATCTTCAATCGCTCCAAGATTACAATTTTTACAGATACAACTAATTTTCCCACTGTCTTTATTTCTCCTGTAAGTAACAATTCTAAAATTATGTAGGGATATTCTAAATTTACAAACTGCTCTTAGAAGAGACTTATCATTCAGTTGTAAAATATAACATTCAGACTCCAGAACTGCTTTTAAGCTTACAGTAGTTCGTTACATAATGCGAGTTACAAATAGAATCATGCCAAGTTTGTTTGTATATGTCAATCAATCTTTCTCTAAACTTCACTATAAACACATTTGCATCACCAACATTTTGTAATATCAACACAAATGAGAAACCTGTTCTAAACAGGACTGTTCTAATGTTGGACACCCAATTACAAGTAATACATAACATTGATATGGGTAACGATTTACATTCATTTGCAACAACTTAATCCAATACTTAATACATCGTATTTGAGTTAATATAAATATATCATACCTACCAGTTTCACCAAGTATGGCCTTATTGGATGCAAACTTTCCCACCCTTAAATATCGTTTAAAATAGGTAGTTTGCACTTGCTCTATTTCATGATGATAATTATTGCCCCAAATTTCACTTGCGTATAATAAAACAGGAGAAATTTTCGTATCAAATATTTGGCAGGCTGTAGTAAATGAGATAAAGCTATTCTTCCTAAATTAATGGAATACAGAGAACATTGCTTTAGTTGCCTGTGCAGCAGGAGTCTTACAAGCGTTTGACCATAAGAGCCTTAAGGAGAATATTAACCCTAAGTACTTATAGTAAGTAACACTTTTTAGCTGTTTATCACCAAAGTACCATTTCTCATTTCTTCGCAGTATACCACCGTTTCTAAAAACTGTTATATTTGTCTTTTCTGTATTCACCTCAAGACTACAAAAACCATCTAGTACATTCAGTTGTCTTTGTAAACCTGCTACTGTAAATGAAAACATTGTAACATCATCTGCAAACAATAGCATCATTATGTATTCAATAGTTTGGCTTATAAATATTCCATGATCACATTTGTTATACATATCAGTTACAAGTTCATTTATAAAGAATATGAATAGCACAGGGCTTAAGACACAACCTTGGCGAACACCACATGAAGTTTCAAAGTGTTGTGTGATGCCCTCTTCAGATTTTATACAAGCTTTAACTGATGAATACATACTCTTCAATATTGTATACATTTTGCAATGACAACCTTTCGTAGCTAAAATATATGTAGCATTTTTTTCCTATTCATGTAATCAAACGCTTTTTTATAATCGACGAATGCCACGTAAAATCTACCCCCCCTTCTTACATAGATATTTGCTGCACAACGACTGTAGGATAAAAATATTGTCTACCGTAGAATAATCCGGACGGAAACCTACTTGAGACTCTGAAATCAAAATATTAACATCCAACCAAATTCTTATTCGTTTTTCTAAAACAGACGTAAACACTTTACCAATAACATTTAACAACGATATTCCTCTGTAATTATTCGGATTTGATCTGTTTCCAGACTTAAACAAAGGGACAATCATTCCAATGTTCCACACTTCGGGAAAGTGACCTGTATCTAATATCTTATTATACAATAATTGTAAGTATTTAACAACAGTTATAGTGTCAGCTAACTTAAGAAATTCTGGTGGAATGCCATCTTCGCCAGGAGCCTTGTTTCGTTTCAGCATACCAATACTATCTATAATTTCTTTTTCTGTGATTTGACCTGATAAGAGTTCATCACTAAAAGGCAAATTGTTACAATGTTCACAGGAATGAGAATGTACGAATTCGGATACGGTTTCATCAAAAACAGTCTTTTCACTGCCTGGTTCAGGGCTGAGTAGTGATGTAAAATATGACAACCAGATATCTGGAGAAATACCACTTTGTACATTCTTACCACATATCAGGGAATTCAAAGTCTTCCAGAAGGATTTACAATCCCCATACCTTGCTGCAATGCTTATGTCATCTGCAATTTTCTTATCGTAATAATCTTTTTTAAGTTGGCAGCACCTTTTAAAATCACACTTTACTGATAGGTATTTCTTTAAATTTGACTGACACTTAAATTTACGATAGGTAGATAATGCTTTTTGCTTAGCGCTTTTCAGGATACGACAATCTTGATCAAACCACGGTGGTTGTTCCCTTTGTCTATTTGAGCTTGGGTTAAACAGTAACCTAGTTGGGGAACAATTTATCAGAATATCGCCCAGTTTTCTAGCAGCCAAGTTAACATCGAGTAATGTAACGAAATCTTCAAATATGCTTGACTCGATGGTATGGGTAAGACAGTTGTTATATTCTGCGATGAAGGCATCAGGGAGTCTGTATCTAGGTACACTGGGTAGAACAGGAGAATCTGTACACGCAGAAACATCAGAACCTAGACCTAAAAATAGATTACATAAAACGACAACAATTGGCATATGGTCCGATTCTGTATGCTCTGGTATTTGGAAGTCTTGCAAGTAGAGGAACATCTCACTTGACACAGTACAATAGTCCACAACACTTGTACCCATATTGGGAATGTATGTATACAAATGAGAGGCAGTTGGGTTACAACGACCATTTACAATGTGTTTACCAAACGATTTACATAGTTCGAGCAACCATCTGCCATATTTATTTGTAACATCATCTTCTGAGTTTCGAGGTTGGTCAAAAATGTCCGTGTTATATGTGTCACCAACTGGAAGGTATTCAGGATTATCGTCAGTAATAAGTCAGGATCTGACCCAGTTCTCGCATTAAGGTCACCGCATAAAACAAAGTTACTGGAATCCCCATAATCATACTTAATATGTAACAGTTTGTTTTGTAGACGTTCAATACCATTGTCTTCAGATTTGTCGTACTCAGGAGACTTTTCAGGATGAATGTATGTGAACACAAGAAATAAGTTTTCAACAGTCTGGGTAACCTGGTGGTTAACTACCTTCAATACAATGATATTATCCCAGTGTGCATTTATTCTTTTTAGAGTATTTTCAATGCCTCGTCGAATCATCGCACATATACCACCAGACGGTCTGCCTCTAGTGTACTGACGCTTTGCGTTACAATAGTGAAATAAAACCCAGTTAAATGCGCCCTCTAGTGCAGTTGAACTTTCAGTGCACATGGTTTCAAGAAAACATAAAATATCGAACATTGAAATGTTATAAAGTCTGGCCAATGTATTTTAGACAACAAACCACACACATTCCAAGTACATATGGATATGTTGTCGGCATCATAAACGCGCTTTGGTCTTTGTGGGTTCACAACGGGACCGCGGCCACTGTCCTATGTAGTGAAGACGTGCACATCCTGGTCAGGAGAGGAGGGAGGAGATCTTACAACTCTTTCAGCACCCTGCCCGTCCCTTCTGTAATTATCTGAAGGTCTTTTGTTGGTCTATTTGAAGCAGCAACTCACTCTCTTCCTCGAAAATGAACATTTTTCCATCAATTATAAGTTTGTCGTAACTCATGAAAGAAATATTGTTTTCTTCTCTGGCTGTCTTCATGACGGGAATAGACAAGACCTTAACCATCTCACTCTCTCGGTATAGTCGTCAGTCACTCGGTGCTCTCTACTCCCCTCTAAACATTCCCTAGCAGATTTAAGAAAGATTGTTTTGTCCTTATAGCTGGCAAATTTCACAATTATAGGGCGGGTGCCGGTCCTTGAAGGTAGGCGATGAGCTCTTTCTATTGGCATGTCCTCAGCCTGCGTTATGTTAAGTTTGTCTTTAATAAACGTTCTCACTCTGGATTGACTTTCATCCCAAGTTTCACCCTTTGAGTCAGGAAGCCCATGGAACAAAAGATTATTTCGCCTGGATTGCGCCTCAATTTTGTCCGTTTTGACTTCTAGAAACGCAATCCTTTTCTTGAGTTTACTATTTTCCTCTTTTAAAGCTGATATTTTGTCATCATATTCGCTGGTAAACACATGGAGTTTATTGCTAAGGGAGGTAATTTGATCCTGTATGGCTTTCAGCGTTAAAGCGAGATCAGCCATGACCGACGGATTTGAGTCGCTTTCGTTTGTCAAACACTGTCCACTGACATTCTTAGTTGAGAGTCGCGTCTGTACTTTATCAGGTGGAGGGGGGTAACGAGGCCCTGGGTTCAATTCTATGTCGCCCGATAGTACTAGCAGACTAAATGACAACAACACAATGCGCAGTCCTATCCCTATGCCGCCAGTGAGTCGTATAACGGGGGGCACACAATTGCCAGTCTTGACTCGTGGACAAAATGTACCGATTTTAAGTCTCCAAACTTCAATTGAGACACCCATGTTTAAGTATAACATGCACAAAACACTTATAAGCAGTTGTAACCGGTCGTATTGTCTCAATAACTCACTTTAAAGACATTTGGAGCGTTTTTTGGTCTCTGTTGTTGTGAGTGACTTCTGCCCTTGATGGTCACGTGATACCTTTTCTTTTCCTTTGGAGTAGTTGATACCTTTTCTATTCCTTTGGAGTAGTTGATTGGACAAAACAAGACATCCGGAGTCTTGACCGCCTGACCAGAAGGGTCATGTCTGATAACAGAGCCCACCACCCTCGTTCCTCTCTCAATCGTTTATATGTGACCATCAATTCGGGAGAGAGAGAGAGAGAGAGAGAGAGAGAGAGAGAGAGAGAGAGAGAGAGAGAGACTTGTGGGTTTAGCCAAGCTAAAAGCAATGACATTGTTCGTGAAATTGAAGTTGTACCCATTGAAACAAATGTGAGTGACAAGCTGCAGATAAAACATGGCAAATATGCGGACCTCACGCAGATGTCACGTTTGCAACCCAAGTGTCCATGTTGACCGACTCCCCATGGTTCTTGGCGCCTTAGGTTTGGTCCAGCTCATGACTGACATTGTGAGAATACCGGGGTTTGCTGAAGACTGCTGCGTCAAGGCGTTTCTCATCCTCCGAAATGGTCTTTCTTTGCTCGACTACACGGCACTGTCTGGGACCAGTATAGCGGGCAAGGGGCTTGAGCTGATGACGAGCTGATGATGAGCTTAACTAGCCTGATCTGCAGGGTCACTTGCTAGGAACATTTACCGGGATAGTTAACCATGTTCTTTTACAAATGAGGGTAGTCCAGGTTCAAATGTATCTGCAGTAGTAGTGCCCGCTGTCCCTCACTGCGGTGTTGCCGCTCAACGATGGGCTGGCAACAGTCAGTTGTATTAATGAATGTTTAACAAGATACACATCACAGATACGTACCTAAACATTCGACAAGCCATGCGGGAGAGTCCCACATACCGGAGGATCCGCAAGTAACGTTTGTAGTCTCGTTTGTCACGAGACATTGGTGATAGGCAATGCTGCCAAGGACAGTCTGATTGTAGCTTAGCCTGGCACCAACAACGTCGTCAGGAGGACCGCAGTCAACTGAATAAAAACAAAATCCGCATTACAATATTATACAGCGTATGTCGTAAATGTAACGATATTAGATGAAGTCATTTGAAATCCTTCAAATGTCAACAGTGCTTCACGAATAAAGGTGTCATTTGTTGAATCGCAGAGAGGCAATATATTTAGATATATGACGATATAGCTATAGTAACATCAGTTACCACATAGATTCCATATACCCGAGCCATGTCCGGCACATGACACGTACAACTATCCCCAAGATTACGTACAGACATGCAAGACGCGAACCAACGACTACTTGCACGAAGCCCGCACAAACCCTAACTGTGCATCACGTCCAGCCAAATAGCACTTCAAATCTGGACTAGGCCTATTGTCCCATACCCGGTCATTAGATTTACTCCCATTAGTTAGACATTTCAATTGTCAGACACTGGACTAGGGATTAATTAGGGCAACACCTATATACAAATGGGAATGTCCCACTTGGATATTTCTCCACAGCAGTCTTCATCATTCATGCAGACCCATCAGCTATCTCTTGGTCTTCAGTCTGATCGCACGATGGCTTTTCATCTACACACGCTTTTCACCCCACTGAATGACTCTAACCTTACCAACAGTCACCTTCAGACGCCATGGCGATGTCGCCAGAAAAATAAGTGAGGTGAGGTGAAATTGGGTTTAACGTCGTGCTTGAGAATATTTCGCTCAAATGACGACGTGCATGCGTGTGTATGTGTATGTGCGGCTGCTTGTACTAGCCCAGACTTAAGCTGGTTTTATAGTGCTAGCTCACTGAGATACCATAAGGCAGTGAAGCATAAATACCCCACTCAGATACATTATACTGACTCCGAGCCGTCCAGTCCTTGTTGTACCCACTTATGCCGAGCGCCAGGCAGGGACCAACAAGTACGATATTTTAACGTCTTTTGGTATTACGCGGTTAGGGATCGAACCCGCGACCTTCCGCTCTCCCAAAAAAATAAGTACTCCATGGTAATAAAATATAAGACGTCTATGGCGACCTCCATGGAGATCATATATAAGTTGTCTATGGCGATCTCCATGGAGATCAGCCATGAGTACTCATTGTCGGTCAAAATAGGTACGCCATGGCGTAGTCTATGGTAACTTCCATGGAGATAAACCATAAGTAGTCAATGGCAACCTCCGTGGAGATCAACTATTGGGTAGTCTATGGCGAAATATATGGAGATCGAATATAAGTAGGCTGGCGATCTCCGTGGAGATCAAATATAAGTAGACTGGCGATCTCCATGAAGATCAGCTATAAGTAGACTTGCGACTTACATGGAGATCAAATATAAGTAGACTGGCAATCTCCATGGAGATAAACTATAAGTAGACTGTCGATCTCCATAAAGATCAGCTATAAGTAGACTATCAACCTCCATGGAGATCAAATATAAGTAGTCTATGGCGACCTCCATGGAGATCAACTATACGTAGACTGGCGATCGCCATGAGGATCAGCTATAAGTAGACTATGGCAACCTCCATGGAGATTAACTTTAAATAGTCTATGTCGACCTCAATGGAAATCAACCATAAGTAGACTATGGGGCCTCCATGGAGATCAACTATAAGTTGTCTATGGCGATCTCCATGGAGATCAACTATAAGTTATCTATGGCGATCTCCATGGAGATCAACTATATCTGATAATAACCTTAACGGCCCCGCACAGGAACTTACCTTTACAAATGAGCGTTGCGTTATCCCAGTTTCCAGTCCCCAGACATGAGAAGTTGCCGGCACCGCTGTCTCGGACGTATCCCGCGGCACAGACGTAGGTAGCGACGGCGGAAAAGTAGGTGGAGGTGTATGTGACCTTCATTCCCGGGGGCTGGGACGGCATGCCGCAGTTCACTGCCATTCGAAACATTCAGAGTCAGCTCGAGTTAAAAATGTATAATTAAATAGACACTTGAATAGAAGCTACAAACCCTTTCCACATCCATAAGGATTCTCTGCTACAAGCAGCGTAGATCGTGCATTTCTGACCATATCACGAGTATGTGTTTGTTTCAATTGCTTTTGTAAACAATAAGTCTGGACCAGACAATCCAGTGATTGTCACCATGTGAAACGATGACAGAGCATGTATTTTTAATCACTTCGCGAAAAGGTGAGCATATCCTGCCCCACCATTATATCCCCGTGTATAGCCCACGTTTCATTGTTCCGTGTTTCTCAATGAGATATAACTACCAGTCTAACCTCATTCCTTGACTCGCGCCATCATTCATGACGTCACTCACATTGTCTAAGAACCCGTGAAGGTACGGGTTAGAATGTGCCTTCAGTAACCAATGCTTGTCGTAAGAGGCGACTAACGGGATCGGGTGGTCAGGCTCGCTGACTTGGTTTACATATGTCATCGGTTCCCAGTTGCACAGATCGATGCTCATGCTGTTCATCACTGGATTGCTGAGTGCGGCGTACAACTAAACTCACTCACTTACTACATAGTCTACATGGACGAGCTTAAACTGGAAAAAAAATAAAGTAAACGCTGCTACTATGAACCAAGGTATAGAAGCTGGACGCATCTTCGCACAATCGAATTTGCAAGGCAGATCTTCTGTTGGAATAAAGAAGACGTACTTCGGTGTGGCATTATACGGGACTCATATATCCGATGGCTTACCACACTCTAGTATTGAGTAGACCCATCTGGCGCCGTTTTCAGTAGGAATCGAGCACATCATGGACATGTTGTGACTGTAGGTCTCGCCACACAGGCCCAGGACGTGATTCTCAATGTCACATCCCTTGGGTAGTCGTATGGCTGAGTTTTGCTTTTTTTTCCAAAGGAAACATTCTGTGAAGTTGGATTCGTCCACGTCCAGCAGGACTCCGTGGTGGTCGAGGAGGTGGTATTCCGTCACGTACTCACTCGCCGTCGCTGAAACATAAAATAGGGATAGTGTGAAGTTACTATCATTCCCATATTATCAAAGCGTATTGCAAAACACATCCACAGAGGAAAACATGGACAGAAATTTGTCGCACTCCACAATTTACTACAATGCGATCTTAGCGTATAGTCTGAAAACAGTTTCTGTCTGAAAGCATGGGAGTTACGATAACATGACCTCTCTTTGTTCAACGACTCCCAAGGCCCCGTTACTTTCCTCGTAGCATTCCTACCTGTAACATTGACTTACGCTAATCGTAGCGTCACGAGAGCTTTGTGCAACGGTCTCCAAGGGCCTAGATTTTCGAAGCTCTCTTAGCGCTAAGATAGTCGTAACGTATGTTAATGTATGGCACTTACGACTATCTTAGCGCTAAGAGAGCTTCGAAAATCTAGGCCCGGGACCTTAAGATGTACGTACTTTACGCATGTATTCTTATCAGAGCTGTACCATCGGTAGCTTGCCAATGTAAGTTTTGAATAGTATTCCAGGTGTGACATAATGTTTGATGTCGGGGGCCGCTGAGGTAACTGACGTTTACTGCATAGTGGCGATAGCATGTCAAAATGTATGTCACTGAAAAGTCTTTGAACTCTCGGAAGTTCAGGAATCATATAAAACATGGTTATGATATAGACGTACACTCGAACAGAATATATTGGGCGGGAGTAGAACGCGGGCTTCGGCGTAATGAGCGAACGCTTTATTCCCAAGGCTAGTATTGGAATGTACAATCAGGGATGAGTACAAGTGTATTGAGTGGTTGGCATTGTTAAACATTTATCCCTCCACAGTCGGTTGTGTGCCCAGACCCCTCGGCAGGTCGTTAGCTGTCTGTTTGATCTGATTCTTCCTACAGGGTATTCACAGTTATTGAGGAGCAGTGAATGATGCAAACACAACGGTTATTTACTTGGTTTATTTACACCATTCGATGACTTCAAAGGATGTTTACTCAAGGACAACACTGGCCTGATAAACATCTTAAACTCAACTTCCATAAAAGGGACAGCAATGTAATGACAAGGGTAATATTTTGCATGTAAAAGTTCACAATCGTTTCACGTGGACCTTCTTAAACTGTTTTATAACATATTATATACATATGTAACTGTTTATAATATCGTTTATAAGGTTTTAAAAATCTTTAACAATCTATTCGAATTAGATCCTTGATATACTTTCAGAAGATCAACACGATATGTATGTTGAAAACATCACGTATTAAATTTGTTTTCGCAACTGACTCAGATAACATTTCTACCATGTTATATACATGAGAGAGAGAGATGGAGTGTGAGAGACGGAGTGAATGAGAGAAAGAGAGAGGGAGAGAGAGGGGTAGACAGAGAGAGAGGATGGGAGGGATGGAGATAGAGAAAGGGGGTTGGAGGGAAAGAGAGGGAGGGAGTGAGAGTGTGAGAGAGAGAGCGTGGGAGGGAGGGAGATAGAGAAAGGGTGGGGGAGTGAGAGTGTGAGAGACGGAGTGAGAGAGGGAGAGAGAGAGAAAGAGAGTGAGTTTCGTTTTACGCCACACTCAGCAATATTCCAGCTATATGGCGGCACACAGAGAGAGAGGAGGGGGTATCTAATGTGATGTTCGTGATAGCCCTTGCTTGGGTGTATGGGCGAACGAGTTCAGCGGCGTCCAGGGCAGTTAGAATGGTTCACACCCATAACCCCTACATGCCACTACCCCTACACTCCAGTACCCCTACAGCTAGTTAAAACAACACCTAGCATTTACCTGTCTGATATAATAGACTAATCCTAAAGAGGGATTAGTGCATGGAGCATAGATGAGATCAAGGGATGCATAAATGTGATTAGTCTTTTGTGGCAAGGAAATTAGTGGTCTCATGATGAAAACAAACCTCAACCCTGAGTAGAAGAAACATACAATTGGAAAAGTGTTGGTGCTGCGCCAACAAACAGAAAACGAGTGTACAGAGAGATCGACAACCGTCTGTGCAGACTCAAGGAACAGCTTCAGCGTGGACAGAAATCCCCCTCTTCAGTTTCTTGACGCCGTCGGCTACCTGCTCAAGCTTGGATAGACTGTAACACTGACACTTGAACACTTGTGATAATGTAATAATGTGGTCTTTCTCTCATCCTGATATGTTGATATGAAACACTTGTGATAATGTGATCTTTTGTTCATCCTTATATGATGATATGAAAACACTGAATGTAAATAGACTGAAAAACTTGACAATTGATCTCAATGATGTGGTACTTTGTGATAACACATGTATTAAAGTCACTTTTAAAATCTGTCTTGTGTCATGTTGTGCATCTTAAGTGGACCAGTCCACTGTATGGAATAGGTAACAGGCAGGAGATTAGTTATGCAACAGACCATAAACTATGTTGTTATAAGCTGTAGGGGTAGTGGCATGTAGGGGTAATGGGAGGTTACCGTTAGAATGGCAACAAAGAAGCATTGTTGACTGGATAGGGGTGGGGATTCGGGAAGGTGGGGGTGGTGAAGGCGAGGGGGGTGGAGCTAGTGAAGATACGTGTTATCACCTAGCAGGTCTCTATTGTCTATGTCACATAATCAATGACCCATTCATATTACTTTCACAGCTATTATTTCTACTATACCAAACGGATTTCTTCCGAGGTCAGTCAAGACTGAGTATTTTTTGTGCGCTTTTTTGTTCCATATTAGAAAGAATGAGCACAGAAATCTATATCTTGGAGGGGGTTACAATCGGAAATCCAATACTCGTGTAACTTACGACAACTGGGGATGTTGCAGAATTCAGATTGCAGGGGGCTGGCGTTGGTGTAGCACCATGGTCGCGTCATGGACGATATGAGGTTGCGGCAGTTCCCCATACTCACGGACCCTCCCGGGTACAACGCAGTCCTCTTGAAGGGGACACCCCCACTGTTCCAGCGTATGCAAGATTTACCATTTTCCGTTGTTCCGACATCTCCTTTGTATGTGGAACCATCCTGGTAACGGCGGCAGATCGAGTCTGTGTGGGGAGAAAAACCTGTTTCTACACACATTCCTTAGAAAAGATGGCACTTGCAAGGATGTAAGTTGATTCCCATTGTGATCTGTTTTTGTGGATGTTAAATCAAATGAGACTATGCCTGTAGAGGTTTATCACAGTGCTGTCCTATCTTACAGTTGCTTGGTTGGTTTGTTGATAAACGCCGCACCCAACAATATTCTAGCTATATTACCGCGGTCTGTTAATAATCGAGCTTGGACCAGACAATCAACAGCGTGGGCTTCGATCTACGCAATTGAGTCCTTCTTACAGGCCATATTAACAATTGCGCAGATTGTTTGTCAGCATTTCATACATTTGAACACGTTTTCCCAGTATTCCCAGGATCCACCTTTTCATCCATACATTACCCGTGAAGGTCCGGGTTAGAATATTGATCTTCAGTAACCCATGCTTGTCGTAAGAGGCGACTAACGGGATCGGGTGGTCAGGCTCGCTGACTTGGTTGACATGATGAAGGTACGGATTAACCATGGGAAGCTGGCAGTTAACTATATATACAGGTATACATTTATATATATACATTAATTTACTGTTCCGTCATGACGGCTGTTCCCGTTATCTGGTCGGCCACACATGTCGGGATGTAATGCATGTAAACTGAAAATGTAAAGGTCAACATAATTCTAAAACTTGTTAATACACACCGCAATGGACGATAGGGCATTCTTCCCAGTTTTTCGACAGGTCCACATAGCACCACGGTTTGTTTCTGCCGTTCGGGTTGCGGCAGTAGTTTGACGCTTCCGCCCAAGTCATATCTGGGAACTGATCCAGCTGGAGGGAGGAGTCTGTGGTCCAGGGCAGACATGGAAGACCGTTGATAGTCATGTTGACACTTCCCTTAAACTCAACTCCTTTGTCAGACTGTCGGCATTCCACACCCTCTGGTAGAGAAGGGTAACAGATGCTTTATGTCATACTACAGGTTAAGAGATGAATACAATTTTATACATGATTCATACAATATTATACATGATGCATACAATTTTATACATAATGCATACAATTTTATACATAATGCATACAATTTTATACATGATGCATACAATATTATACATGATGCATACAGAATTATACATGATGGATACAATATTATACATGATGCATACAATATAATACATGATGCATACAATATTATACATGATTCATACAATATTATACATGATGCATACAGTATTATATTGATTCATACAACATTATACATGATGCATACAATATTATACATGATGCATACAATATTATACATGATGCATACAGTATTATACATAATGCATACAATATTATACATGATTCATACAATATTATACATGATGAATAATAATAACAATGTGTTATATATAATAATGACTATTTGTAAAGCACTTCCACGCATGCTCAAGGCGCTTAATAATATATTATTACCCCAGAACTCAAATTGCCTGTGTGGCCCTAGAAGGTTAACTGTCACATGACTTCTCTTATTTACTGCATGGTGAACAGTGGCATTTCTGTGTTACGTTTGCTTCGTTGTGGGACGGGACTGAAGTGATTGTCCGCGACCAACGTTGCTCAACTTCAATTGATTTGTGACCTTGGCTCTATGCACAGGACCACACACCACCACAGAGTAGACTCTTCAATGGAGACAGCGGAACAATTCAACCAGCTTGCATTTGTTTGGGGAATTGGATTTTCATTAAAGGATACGTACAGGTAGGGCAAGGAACGGATTTGGGGATAATAAATTTCGGTACAGCTAGCGAAAGATAAGGTTTCTAAAAGTTATAGTACATGTTGATATGACTGATTTCTGGGCCATATATTTTGACAGTTGCGAGCTGATCAAGTTCAAAACTACATGTATGTACAGTCCGTTTGATATCATTTGAAACCGATGAATTGCTCACAAAATCTAATAATTGCAACAAAACCAAATTTTGTCACATGAAATCGACAGACCAACTCTGATGATTTGTCTCATAATTTTGGACATCCGAATAAAAAGTGGTTTAACAAACGATCATTATTTTGTTGACACTTTTCGTTATCTCTTACGAGAGGGGTAATGAACAAGCGTGTGTAGTGAAATTTCAACCTGGCTGTTCTACCAGCAAGTGTTCTACCACGAGTCCATATGATATCTCTGGTTATCCAGACCAATTAGTAAAACACACACACGCATACACGTGCACACGCATGCACACACACAAACACAAACAAAACATAAAAATACAAAACCTATACAAATTCAGACTTAACAGGGATACACCCTGGTAAGCCATCCTGTTACAGGTATCTGCACATCTTTGGAACTGATCCGCGCGCACATCCGCACGAACGTACACACGCAGTGTTGTGAGAAGAAGACTCACCGCCGGTGTATGGTCTTCCGAATACCTTGACCTCACACACGTCGCCAGTGAGTCCAGTGATGAACAGATCCAGATGGTCACCAACAGGAGCAGTGTTGCAAGGTATGGCCACAGTTATCTCCCCTGTCTGATGGACGTAGGAGGACCCGCTGGACACGCTACAGGTCTTGTTTAGGCCGTCTCGACTGATGACCATTGTGAGAGACGCAGCGCTAGTGTTAGCTGGAAATGCAGCAGGCTTAAATCCACAGTGAAATAATAAAACAATTACCGTTGATACATATACATCGGGACGGTCACAGAGCACCCCGTTTTGTAATTACTGCAGGCTACTCAGTTCACTTTGAATGGTCTTTATAAACTTCCGACAAACATTTTACACATACCTTGGGTTGTGATGGTCACCATTTTAATCTCGTATTTCCCACCAAGGTCAAACGCCAGATCGAGCGTAGTTCCGTTTACGGGTGAACACGTGCCGATGTCGTTGTCAGTCCACTCCAGTGCAGCTACTACTGTCGTTACATTAGGTTCAATCTTCTCCTTGTCTGAAAAACATTAATAATTACTGTCCTTGAATAAGGTCCCAAGAAAGGAGTTCATTTGTTCAAGGCAGATTAACCATAGGACGTAGTGTTACGACAGTCGCAAGCCGATGATGAGGTACGGATTAACCATAGGACGTAGTGTTACGACAGTCGCAAGCCGATGATGAGGTACGGATTAACCATAGGACGTAGTGTTACGACAGTCGCAAGCCGATGATGAGGTACGGATTAACCATAGGACCTAGTGTTACGACAGTCGCAAGTCAATGATAAGGAAGAGAGGAGTTCATTTGTTCAAGGCAGACGTCTCTTCAATGCTAGCGTTTATTCGTGGCAGACGTTTATTCAAGATACGGCTTAATGTTTGTCACAGAAAGGATATCGTTTCCGACTTTGAGACACTATTTTTTCCCTCAGAGAAGAAGCCGAGCTATTTGTAGGATATCCACTATATCAAACCAGTTGAGGCAAAATAAAACCCTGGCTTACTATTGTTTGCTTCACACACGCCCCTGTCGACCTGGACGCCAGCATTCTACCATTCAAGTCCATAACTAGTTTTGTTTGTTGCATAACGCCACATTCCATCAATATGGTGACAGCCTGTATATAATCGTATCTGGACCAGTCCAGTGACCAACATGCATGAGCATCGATCAACGCAAATGGGATACGATGACATCAACAAAATCAAAGTCCGTTAATCGCTATTTACGATGGGCACGGATTATTGGAGATCAATTCTAACCCGGTCCATAACGGATTTGCCGGGTGATGAGTAATCTTGTAAGGACCATCTGTATACATACAGTCAGTAGTCAGCAGCATTTCCAGATTTATCCGGATTGATGGATATCAGTGCTCATGATTAATCGTAACTGTGTTCTCCATACACAAGCAACCCTGCACATGGTGTAGTGGATACAGTATCCGAGAAGGCAACGAACGGTCCGTGGTTCGATACCCTGGACGCTTCATACCAAACCACTTTAAGAAATGGGACTTGTTGTTACCCTGCATTATGCCTCTGTATTAAGTGAATAACAGAATGACCTGACTGGTTAGTATACTCTGTGTGAATGGGGTATCCCTGCTATACTGTGGTTTGGTATCACAGTGCCAGAGCAAATTGATGGCATGAATCCGGACAAACGCACATACATGCATGGCTGTATCCATATGGTTGAAATTATCCTTAACGCGATGCTAAATCCCACCTCACCCCTAAAAATACACGAGGCCCTTCCGTTACGAGATGTCATCACAGGAAGTTCAGTCGCATACAAAACAAGTATAGCGTTGAAATGAATTTATAGAATGTGCTTTTGGGCCATTAACAAGCACACATACCACACACTGTGGCACAATCACTGGGTGAAAACACTTATAAGAAAATGGAATATCCCTTTTAAAACCCCTTTTTACTTTCGTGGATTCTCATCAGCACTAAATAACATCAACAATATTTCGTCATTCCGTTAAATTTACACGTTGCCAAACAAAGGAAGCTTCACGTCTTATGTTCTCTAAGGAACTGATTTGATCCTAGAAACAGAACTGTGTATGTGAGGACTCTCTATTTAGTTGCATAATGAATCCCAATTCATACACTTCGCTCTCTTGGAGACAGTTCGCCAGTGTGGAATTACTATAAATAATTTACACGGATAATGTTTAATGTATGACATTGTATATGGTTCTGCTTGGATGACTGCAACCCACTGATCATCATTATGTTTTGTGTACAGAACGTCGTTGCGAAACTCGTTCAGTGAGATACAAGGAGTAATATTCAAATATATATCAGAAGAAGTCAAACGTAATTGAAATCCGCCATCCGGCTTGGCTATTGCTAACTCTCGTTGGGACCGATACGTTCAGATTCCAGTACAGATTCCATGTTCAGGGTATATCACTTGTTCATCTGATTAAGCTAATCACAAAGGTTATGTTCAGGGTATACACCATTGTTCATCTGATCAAGCTGATCACAGAGGTTATGTTCAGGGTATACACCATTGTTCATCTGATCAAGCTGATTACCGTGGTTATGTTCAGGGTATACACCATTGTTCATCTGATCAAGCTGATCACTGAGGTTATGTTCAGGGTATACACCATTGTTCATCTGATTAAGCTAATCACAAAGGTTATGTTCAGGGTATACACCATTGTTCATCTAATCAAGCTGATCACAGAGGTTATGTTCAGGGTTTACACCATTGTTCATCTGATCAAGCTGATCACAGAGGTTATTTGCAAGGTATACACCATTGTTCATCTGATCAAGCTGATCACCGTGGTTATGTTCAGGGTATACATCATTGTTCATCTGATCAAGCTGATCACAGAGGTTATGTGCAGGGTATACACCATTGTTCTTCTGATCAAGCTGATCACAGAGGTTATGGACAGGGTATACACCATTGTTCATCTGATCAAGCTGATCACAGAGGTTATGTGCAGGGTATACACCATTGTTCATTTAACAAAGCTAATCACCGTGGTTATGTTCAGGGTGTACATCAATTCTTTGAGATGCATTTTGGATGTTGTAGAGATGAAGGAAAACCAAGTTCTATGGATAGTCAACTTCTTTATTGCAATGGGTGCGACGTTTTGGTATAGGTACTTACACCGTTATCTAGTGATGATAACGGTGTGTTGTTGCTTTTTGTTTGTTTTTTTTCTTTGTTTTTTATTGGTTCCCAGGATTACAATGTCGTATGTAGAACAGTGATGTACAGACAGATGGATGATGTACAGGTACTATGTCAATATCATGTTAATACACATTAGTCAATAAAAGAGAAATATGACCTCAGGTAAATTGGATACATTTTAAATTCATCAAAGTACTGGGAAGAGAAGACCCCATTTATGATTGAAATCTTCTATTTTATTATTTCTTTTGCATGTATGGTTTTCCACAAAGAATATACAGAGTTATGTTTGGATGCATATTTTTAATACTGCATACGTATATGTGTCTTTTTGCTGCAATGATGATGTGATTTAGTAATATATTATGATATAGAGTACCAAACCAAACCATATGTTTTGATAATAGCAATGGATGAGGGTATAAATTGTTCAGCCAAAGTCCTGCAGCCTTTAGATGTTTTTACTAGATATATCTGGCGTTGGTTAATATCTAAATCCCTGACTGGTATTAAATGACAGTGGTTAAGAGTATTTTTCCAAGAGTCAGGTAATACATGTAGTAAATATTTATAATCTAAAAAGTGTATTTGATACCATATATTTCTTATAAAGATTCTATTGACAATAATCCAGTTTCATCACAAATATCCCTAATATTTATAATCCCTTTATCTGCCCAGTTCTTTATGAAGTTTAATGAATTTTTAAAATTATGATTAAACCATAATGGTTGGGATAGAATTTCAGTAATGTTATTAGGGTCAATATAATGGTTTTTTTTTTTTAATAGTTGCCATTCTTTTAGCACATCACGCCAAAAAGGATTTTCAATCTTAAACTAAGTTTCAGAATTTGCTCCAAAATTAAATGTGTCTTTAAAAGGTATATTGCATGGATTATTCTTATCACCTCTTTTCAAATACTGTCTTAAAGTAGATAATTTCAAAGCGTCTATAAATGTTTTTGCTTCAATCATTCTCAAACCTTCTTCTTCATAGTTGTTTTTAATTACATTCCTTTTTATTTTATCATTCTTGTCATTCCAAATAAATTTAAAAAACATTTTGTCAAGGGACATGATACGTTCTGCTGGTGGGTTTGGCAAGGAATTGAAAATATGGATCAATTTGGAGATTGCTAGAGTTTTTATTACTGTTATTTTACCAATAAGTGTTAAATTTCTTTTTCTCAAAGATGCTAAGAGTCTATTAATTCCCTCCAGTCTCTTTCCTGTGTTGATAACCCATAAGTCTTTAAGATCTGGTGTAAATGTAATACCTAGTACATCAAATTCACCAATTACCCATTCAATTTTCAGATCATTACATATTTTATCCATAGATTTAGCTTTGGATCCAATCCAGATTGCTTTTGATTTGTCTAAATTAATTTTCAAGCCTGACATTTTGTAAAACTTATTAATTGTGTCAATAACAGAGTACAAACTCTCTTCAGTTCCATCAAGAAATAGTTCAGTATCATCGGCATGTTCATCCAGTTTATACTCATTATCATTGATGACAATACCTTTGATGTTTTCATTATTTCTTATCATGCAACCAACAATCTCAGCCACAAAAAGGAAACGATATAGGGATAGTGGGTCTCCCTGTCTACATCCCCTTTCATTTGCGAAGAACTCGGATAGATTACCATGTTGGATAACACAAGCTGTTGTTTCATAGGTTAATATATTTATCCATCTTATCATTTCAGGACCAAATTCAAGTTTATGTAAAACCAGGTTGATAAAAGCTTTTGAAACAGTGTGAAACGCTTTTTCAAAGTCAATAAGAATCAGCAAACCAGTAATGTTTTGTTTGTTTGTTTCAAACATTATATCATATAACAATCTTGTATTCTCACTAATAGTCCTACCCGGTATAAAACCAGTTTGGTTAGAGTGAATAAGTTCATCTAAAGTAGTTTTTAATCTATGTGCAATGCAGGAGGTGATAATTTTATAAATAGCATTAAGTAAAGTGACTGGCCTCCAATTTTTAAGTAATGTTCTATCTTTTGGGGGTTTTGGAATACAGGTGATAACGGTGTTAGTACCTACACCGAGGATATGTTCAGGCTCTAGATCACTTGTTCATCTGACCAAACCTGCATACAAGCCGCCATGAAGACTATTTTAAAGGATGTCCCTTCCAATTTTGTTGAGAGAGTAAGTAAGTTTGTTTAACATCGATTTCTCACACTTGTGGGTGAGAAACCCAGTTGAGATCACCAGTAAGAATCATATGTGTGAGATCGAAGTCCATGTCAGTGATTGGCTACTCCACGGTGATGACCTAGGGTCTGACTATGAAGAACTACTTCCTGATTAAAAATCATTAATAGGATTTCCAAATCGGTCAAATACAAACGTCTTCGTTGACATTTTAGGTTTATGGGTATAAAGCATCGATTGGTGTCGTTAGGTCTCTATTTGTGAAAATGACTGATCCAAATTGATCCCATTTCTGTTTTTTACCTCGATATTTAATCATGTCATGTAAAAATCTGTTTGTATTCTCAAAACAGTGTCGGCCCATAAGTTTTCACATGCAATACAGCAATTAATACTCCCTTGTTGTAACCCGTGTTAGGTGGTATAAACCTACACATGTTATTTGTCATCATTCACTTGATGGTCAGTTAATGAATTTATAACAGGTATAATTAGTGGTAACACACTTAGATTACCCGACAAAGGTTCCCATTTGGCATTTCCTGTGTCTGGAGTAAATATTCAACATTATAAACATCGATCAAAGGATTAACCGATAACACGCTGATTGATTAATTACTTTTATCTTACACAGCGGAATTGTCAAAGGTAGTGTTTATGTATGTAGATTTACTAATCTATACTGAATACACTCTGTCGTGTCGGAGTCTGCGTAAAACAACGTCCTTCTTCAAAGGATTAACCGGCAATACATTGATTGATTGCCCATTATTGGCTAACTAAATTACTGTTTTTAAAGAAAGGCGGACATTATGCAATTAGTTGCCAGGTGTGCTATCTTGGGTGACCAATGAGACTATACACCAATACCTGAAAAGATTTATCACTTTTTCGTATATTAAACTGTTAAAAGACACATCATTTGGAACAGTTTTGTGGATATTGATGGATACATTCCTCGAACAAGGTAATGGCCTGATATTGTTCCTATAACTTTAATCTGTTTTAATTTTTAATATTTGCATTTTGTTTTTATTCATTTGTCGTAGCATTCAACAGAATCATTGTTTTCGCCGTGAAGTGTAATGAGACAGACAACATGCACTAGGGTGTGTGTGCGAATTATGATTCACATTGGCAAACTATAAAATGTCTAGATATTACAGTTCTGTTATAAATTCACTATAAGTATCAGCAGATCGTCTGCTTTTTATTTAGTTTCAAAATGCATACAAGTATGATAATAAACTAATTAGGATTATAAGACCAAATATAAAGACGCACATTGACTAGTATCTACATACTGGTGAGTGGACATTAACCATGGGAATGTAGCAAGAAATTTATCGCGCAGTATTGTGACTTCGACCCCCACCTCGTTTCCGTGGAAGAAATCGTTATGTTATAAGTTGTGTCATGCAAAATCCGTTTGGTTATGATTCCAATACATATTTAACTACGAGTAGAAAGTAGTCTTGATTTTCTAACTTGATGAAAACAAACTATAATCCTCATTAATTCTAACAGATTTTTTTTAATTTTAAAAATGGCGGCGACTCTGTCGGGAACATCCGCCAGTCTGAGGATAAATGGTATTTAGGTTTGTTTTCACCGAGTTACAAAATCAAAACTACTTTCTACTGGTAGTAAAATATGTATTTTATTGATGGCCAATAGGATTTTGCATGACATAGCGTATAACATAACAATTTCTCTCGTGGCAGCGAGGTGGGTGTCAATATAATACTACTTACAATATTATTGTTACTTCGACCACAACCTCACTTCCGAAGAAGAAATCGTTATGTTACAAGTTATGTCATAGAAAATCTTTATGGTCATCAATCATATGCATATTTTACTACAACTAGTAAGTAGTTTTGATTCTTTAACTTCCGTGAAGCGATCTGAACACAAGTAAGATATCGTTTCAGGCTTCCACAACGCTCGCTTCGCACTCACAAACATAACCCATTTAGCACGAACTGCGGGGTCCTGTGGAAATCTGTGCATGGGGACACCATCGCCCGACCCCTAGGAGCAATTGACGACAAAGCAACGATTCGGCATGTCGTCGTTGATGTCGAGAAATCATCAAAATGATGGTCGTGCTACACATTTTCTATACAACTAACTGAAAATCGTTCCTCATATGACGTCACTGCAGTGCTCTGGCGACAGAATTACGTAACCTGTCTGTGGTTTCGTTGGCGGGCGAGAGGCAAGCAGGCGACTGTTAATAAAAACATGGGTCTTATGTAGTCTCCAAATTCATCTTCGCCTTGAAAATTCACAGGAAACGTTTTGTGGACGGTCACGTTGGATGTGAGTAGTCAGACGTCACTGCTGACTGCTGTGCTACGTATCGATGCGGCAATGTAATCATAATACCAGACAAACGATGCGGGGATTAGATGCTGAATTGTTGTAATTGTTGGTGAGGGACTGATTACTGTATTCGTGTCTGTCCTTGACCATTGACCTTGAGATATCTTCAGAAACAACACGTAGTGGTATCTGACAGACACTCGTGTAGTAGTGAGTGAGTGGTTTCAGTTTTACGCCGAGGTTTAGCAATATTCGAGCAAAATCACGGCGGGGAACACCAGAAATGTGCTTCACACATTGTACCCATGCGGGGAATCGACCCGAGTCATCGGCGTGACGAGCGAACGCTTTAGCCACTAGGCTACTCCACCGCCCCCTACTCGTGTAGTAATCTTTATTTTAACGACAAATACTGGGGTATATGTCAAGCCCAAACAAAATCAGATCTAGGATGTTCTACACTGGGAAAATGATCACGATTATGTGGGGTTCGAACTCAAGACAGCGTGATGTAGAGCTGAAAGACAAAGTGGCTACTGTACCTGAACAGTAGAGTCCATAGTTATTCCAGTATCCCGTCAACGAGCACTCGACGGTTTGAGGCCCGCCCCTGTAGTGGTAGCCTTCGTCGCAGTAGTAGATGGCGGTGCTGGAGAGAGACGCATTCGTGAACACCACGCGCCTGCCCGGGAAGGGCCTGGGAACCCCACAGTCCACTGTAAACATCAGAGACTACCTGTTACATAGCATCGTTTAAGGGTAGTGGTTCATTTGTGTATGGCAGGGAATCGAACATGGATAGAGTGAGTGAGGTTTTACGCCGCCTTTAGCAACATTCCAGCAATATCACGGCAGGGGACACCAGTAATGGGCTTCACACATTGTACCCATGTAGGGAATCAAACCCGGGTCTTCAGCGTGACAAGCGAACGCCCCCAGGAATACATAAGATGCAATATATATGAACGATTTATGACAGGTTAGGGTACTTTGACAGCAATTGACAATATACGAAGAAAACTCGTGTGTGCCAGTCCGACCACAAGAATGTTACGGAGATGCAGATATACGAAAACAGTCATCAGCAAACTGCTGCTTGCAAAACGGCCCAGAAGAAGTATTAAAGTTAAGTGAATGTAAATAAAACAGATTTCACAAGGCGTATTATCTTGTCAGTTATTTCGTCTTCCCGATCCACATTTTACGACAAACACATCATCGGGCTAAGAAATTATAACTCAATTGCAGTTACTTAATATTGTGTTCTGAACCTTAAATACACCCACAAAACACTACACGGACAGGACAATGGAAGTTATATCCAGGAAGCCTAATGGTAAAAGCGTCAGCTGGTCACGCTGAAGACTCGGGTTCGATTTCCCACATGGGTACAATATGTGAAGCCCATTTCTGGGGTCCGTGATATTGCTGTAATATTGCTGTCCGCAGCAATAAAATCATGCTTACTCACTGACTCTCGTGTATTTCATTTGGTTTACGACTGAACTGAATGGTATTCGTATCAAAAACAATGAGAGTTCTGACGACAAAGGGATGACGATCGAGGTAAGGGCGTTAACGCTCGATGATATTTGACTCATATGTATTTGATAAAACATTTTTTCTTTACCTGATGGTTTGCGACCATACACCTCAACATCACATATCTTGATGGTAGTTTCGTCCGGATTTGAACCCAGTATGATCAACTGGTTTCCAATAGGAAACAATCTTTGTGCGGCACAATCGACAATTGTACGGTATTCCCATGGGAGTCGAGAAGCGGTGTCACAACTCTGTTTTGGACTATGAACTTCCAGTCGGAAGTTGTACACATCTTCCTCTGAAATTAACACATTATAAGTAAACAGACAATCAGTGGGTTATATCAAGCACAACGTTGTGTGCTTGTAGACAAATGTGTATACATTAAGGCTAATTACGACAGGCGATCACAGAGTCACAGAAAGGAACATGCTTCACGTTTCTTGAAGCATCTAAAGATCAACATGGCTGGCGAAAGCAAAGAATAAAACCCCTATAAATCAGAACTCCAATCTGAAAACCCCTATATACGCCGATTTGACAAATGGTACTGTTGTGTCTCCACACCCAAACTTGAATCGAACCCAAACGTGCATTAGCATCTCGAGCTAATACAGTCATTATAGCTTTAAATTGGTAAGAGAAAAACTGGTAATATATGAAAACGTTTCATTCAGTTTTGGTTTTTATACTTTGCAATGGTTCTGAAATATGGGGAACTTGTCAGTGTAACTTAAAGGTCACATGCAGTGTAAAACATAACTTTGCAGATTCTGATACCTTTCGGTATGGACTTACCGAAACAAATCATCAAAAATGCAAATTCAACTTATAAAGTTGAAAAATATCGCGATGGAAAAAACCGCGCGAAATCGGAGTTCAAACGTTTCACTAATTTTCCCCCGACTTTTCGGGGAAAAACTGGTTTCAACCGCTGGGCTGCGCTCATAGCACGTGCTCAGTGAAATAGGTTCGCGCAGCTTGGAAGCGGGTTGTCCGGTGAATACTCGGTGAAGGCTTTGGTGTGAGCTATTTTTCTAATGTTTTGTTGATATCTCACAGGCGCGAGCTGTTTATATGTGAAGACAGTAAATTAACTGTTTATATAATTTCATTTGTCTATTTCACCACACGTTCTTCTTACCGAGTCACTTTCTCAGTTCGATACTTAAAAGCAATGTCATTATTTAGCGTTGACAGAATTTCTAACTGTGATATAGATATGTCGTTGCCACAGACAAAACTCAATGTCTTGTTTTATTGACACCTGTGTGTCTGCCTGCCTGTCTGCTAATGACAATATTCAATACACAGCTGCTATCACTGACCACTTGCAATTTGAACTTAACACCAATCAGGCTATACACCATAAACAAAATGCATTGATTTAGGGCCCGAGTTCGGTCTCTGTCACATTATGTAATTACACAGACAGGCAGGTGTGATACTTGAACACATGAAATGTTATGATGTCTGTTGACTGCAAAATGTTATACACAAAAAATGAGCATGTATTTACAAAACCCAACATCTCTATATATACACACACAATTAGCCGTGAGGGCATCTGCAAATGAACCAGCCGTTACACTTGAGTGTACACCCACCCGCTCTGACTGGGTTCGGTATCCCGGCTGCTTCGTTTCTTGGGAAGTAAACCCAAGTACACAATATTGCACTTTTGATTTGCGATTGTACGCTTATAATTTTGTTTATATGATTTTTCATAACCAGCAATGTATATTATCTGTCATGAATAAGTGATAATTGTGTTTTAATTATGTTTGATTTTTTGGTTGCATGTGACCTTTAAAGGCACAATGTCACACATTTTCGACACTATTTTGGCCCATATTATTAATATTGGGGGCATTTGCACTCACTTTAGCTTACTAAAGAAGCAATACAAGACTTATTATCCCTTCCGACTTTCCTGAAATCGATAATGGAAACTTCGAGCCGAACAGCCTCCAAACAGAGAACACTTGTCATATATGGAATGTAAGCAATTGCTCCGTACATCGAAAACTGTCGCACGCGGTGTTGTCGGGGTTTGCCGAACTGGTTCAATCACAAGTTGTGCGTAGGATATTCGTAAAGAGCCCTCCAAAGGACATAACTCTATGGGTTTCCCTTGAAATAATTTTTAGCCGCTGGAGGGCTCAGGGTCGATTTAATGCAACGATGCATTAAGTAATACATTAACTTTTTAATCCAATATAAGTAATCTAAATACGTCCTTTTTTTAATTATCATCTTTATTTTTTATTTATTATTGGGTTTTTTTGGAGGGTTTTTTTCCGGGTTGTCTTTCTCTTTTAATTGGGAGGGGGGTGTAAATTATATGGCAGCTGCCCTTGGGGCTTATACTTGGTATTATTGAGAGAAATGCATTATTTTAGGGAAGCGTGGTGTGATATAGTGCCTTTAATACATACTGTGTACCTTAACGTTTGTAGACAATATCTTAGGGGGGGAACAGTTAACGGTATGGTTTTGTACTCCACGGTTAGTTAAATGCTTGTGGAGACTTATACACATATTTCTTGATTGTTGTGTTCACGTTTGGCTTGTCCCGTTCTCAGTACAAGTGTGACCTTGTTTAACATTCTATTTTCTTCATTTACTGAGCAAAATACCAAAACACGTGTCCTTAAACAAAACTTTCGCAGGAGTTAAATTTTATTGTTGCAAGGATAATTATGACGTATTGTACGTAAAATAAAAAAAGGGCATTGTATTTAAGGCACATGAATATGTGAAATTGCGTCTTGAATAACCATGGCGATGTCGTGAAGGAGGTACCTACCAGATGGTCGTATAATTGCTACATGAAGGATCTCATACGGGCCCCCGTCAAGGTTGACAACAAGTCGATCCTGTCTCGGACACGTTTCGGAGCTCATGGACACGCTGAATGTTGACGCTGACGAGGCGTTGATGTTGGTGTGTATTCCGGTACTGCTGTCAACTGTGAGTTGGTTCGAGGGTGTCAAAATGACATCCGTTGTCAATGACGTCATGGGAATTGAGATGCCCGACATAGAGGGCTGCAGGGACAGGTGCTCGGTGGAAGGGGTGCTTGTACTCCCTGAGTCAGGTGATGTGTGGTGGACAGAGCTAAAGGCACTGGAAAAATAAACACTGCTGACTTCACCAGAAGTTAAATACACAGAATTGATGCCACTTGAAGTAGGATTAAGAGAACTGACGTCACTTGAAGTGGGATAAAAAGAACTGAGGTCACTTGAAGTGGGATTAAAAGAACTGAGGTCACTTGAAGTGGGATAAGAACTGAGGTCACTCGAAGTGGGATTGAGAGAACTGAGGTCGCTTGAAGTGGAATGAAGGTCACCTGAAGATAGGTAAAGGGAAGTCCCGGAATTAAGGACAGTTAACGAGGAATAAACAGAAATGAGATCAGAAGACAAGGGTTGAACAGAACTGGAATCGCCTGAGAGGGAAAGAAGAGATGTGGAAACACTTGACGAAGAATAAACGGAAGTTACGTCACTAGAAACTAGATACGTGTCATAAAGTGACCTGTCATAACTAGAGCTGCCATCGTTCACAAGAGAAGCGGTGTGACCTGTTCCTACAGAGTAGAGAGTGCTGTGCACAGAACCAACGGCCGTGGGAGCCAAAGCGCTGATCATGGGGTCCACGGATGACAGTACAGTGTAAGCCACAGTAGCTGTGTCGCTGGTTGTTATGAGGACGTTGTTGGAGGTTACGCTTATGTAATTGGTGGCGTCATCGGAGGATGTTCTTTCATCGTTAGCCGACACGTCGTTACTGCTACTATCTCTCGACGATAAAGGGAGAAATTTTATACTGTCTATCAATGTCTCCATTTCTGAAAGATAAATTGTAATTGCGTTTATAATTATCTGTGGACATGAAATAGATCTACGCGTGCAAGGATAAGATCATACGATTTGAATGCTTTTTTATATAATTTGTATTAATGAACATATGAATGTGCTGTATAGTTTGAACAGTGTCAATTTTCAATTTTTAACTCAAAGTGTTCGGTTTGAGGTCAGGTGGGTGAGTGGGTAGATGGCGATGTTTTGTTACATAACAACGTTTGTTTTATTTAGTCACAGGTGTAAGGTTTTTGGCCTCTTTTTGAGTACAGCTCCAGCAATATCACGGCATGAAACACCAAAAAATGTGTTCTTTTTACATTGTACCCATGTGGGGAATCGATCCGGGTCGGGGCGTGACGAACGAACACTTAAACCACAAGAGTACCCCGCCGTCCCTTTTGGGGATGATCCATAGTACATAATTATAATATCAGTGGTGAACAATCATAGCATTGTGCTAACTGGTAGGTCAACACACTAAATGCGCCGATGCGAAATATTTCGACTGAAACCTCCACAATACCTGCGCAGTAGACGGGGCTCTCCCACCGCCCTATAGCGGGGTCGCAGTACATCTGGTTGGAGTCTTTTGTTTGATTGGTTGTTCCCAGGCACGTGTAGCTGACATACGCACCCGACAACGAGGATGTGCTATTGGTCTTCGAATGAGTGTAGTTCAAAGGTGGTCCACAGTTTACTGAAATATATAACAGCCTGGTGATAGACTTTGCATCTGTAATATGTTGTGTGCATATTGCTGAACTTTGGTTTTTAAAAAAATAGTAGGGCGATCCATTTTCACAGTTTTGAGCAATATTCCATAAATATTAACAGAAATAGGATCCACGGAAACGAAACCTGGTCTTTAGCGCCTCGCTACGAACGATGCTTTAACGAACGCCCTCCTCACTCTTTAACAGTCATTGAACCACATGAGTTATTCTTTCCCACACAGCACTTTCTCCACTTCAAAAGCCAAAAACAAAGCAAGTCTATATATGCTCTTGACATTGAAATTTGGATATCACACCATTTTTAATCACGTCTAATCTTGGAATTAAATTGGTGGTCGGGGTAAAAATAATCAGATTCTTTGGGCGCTTCGAGCATGCATTGTGCATGGAGAAATGTGCATAATAAATGGACTATTATTATGCTTCCCTGTTTGAGAAATCTCTTCCTGTATCCTTACATAGGCAGGTGGGGGCATTCCCGGAGTATACTCCTCCTTGGCACTGTCTGGTTAAGGTTCCCCCAGTGTGATCGTAGCCTGCTAGACAGGTGTAGTTGACCCACGTGTTGGCAGCTCCGCCCTCCCACTTCCGGTAAGCATTTGCAACGGGTAAGGGCTCAGTGCAATAGCCAGCAGCTTTTGGTGTAAAGAATAAGAACAAAATAAAGCAATGTACCTTGTTAAACTGGTATATTGGCTTGAAAATATATTTACTGAAGTAAATCCTGTTGAGATACACACCTCGAAGAATAGATCGTGTAACTGCTAATGAGTAACATTCACATGTAATCTTACGATATAGACATTCCCCAGTGTTTGACTGAGCCCATGACTGACCATGAGTAGAGAATCAGACGTTTTATAATGAATCGGAAAAATCCGTAAACTGGCTGCATGGATAAGCCCTTGAATACTTATGTGCATATAAGTTGATGTCCGCTGGTAATTAAATGAAGACTATAGGCTCCATCTCATTCACAATTCAAATTAATGAGATTGTTTACAAAAAAAGAATGAAAAAAATAACACATGTTTTTAAATGATAGAAACTGGAAGTCATTTTCCTTTCGAGAGGTGGGGTGAACTGGATTTCAAAGTCGTGTTAAAGATTGTTGCACATAGATAACGACATGCATGTCCTTGTGCTCGTCCGGCCTAATTCCGGTTTCGTGGTGCTGCCCATTGAGATACCATGCCGCAGTATTGACATGAAAAGCCCACTCAAACACAATATATTCTGTACCAAGCAGTCCTTGTTTTCTCACTCGTAATGCTGCACGGGTAACAACGACGATCGAATCCCCGACCTTCCCCTCGTCTTGCATGTGTGATACATTTTAGGACTTTTCATGTTCCTGTCTGTGTAGAATTAGAAGAATTAGGAGAAGAAGGTGGAGAAGAAGGAGGAAGAATTGGGAAGATAAAGAGAAGGCTGAAAAGAGAATATGTAGAGCAAGAAAGAGAAGGCTGAAAAGAGAATATGGAGAGCAAGAAAGAGAAGGCTGAAAAGAGAATATGGAGAGCATGAAAGAGAAGGCTGAAAAGAGAATATGTAGAGCAAGAAAGAGAAGGCTGAAAAGAGAATATGTAGAGCAAGAAAGAGAAGGCTGAAAAGAGAATATGTAGAGCAAGAAAGAGAAGGCTGAAAAGAGGAAGGAAGAAGATGGATACTCTACACAAAATTTTGGGGTGACAATGTGATGAGACTTACAAACATCTGCTGGTTTCCACGTGAGCAGCCAGCACAGCAGGAGGAGGCGGAAGACGTCAACAGCCATCTGTCTGGAACACAACAGCAGCCTGGTAAGAGATAAGTTTGCAGTCAGGTGTATTCCAGCTGGAACAGTGGCGGAAGACTGCACCGTGGTCGGCATCATCAACGTTTCCAGACATGCACTCAGCAAAGAGATACTGACCCGCAAACTAACTAAGAGGCGTCTACCAGCATGTATGTCATTGGGCACTATTCTAACCCAAGTCCCCACAGGGCTATATACGTTTAACTCCTGCAGTCGGTACCCGACCAGATGATGGTTATCCAAGGATTGAAGAGTTTGTTCAACACTTCGTTCTTTGCCCCTGGGTGTTCGCCACGCACCCAGGAGAAATGTCCATATTTTGTTCGGATTTGTTTTGAAGCTTTGGAAGCAAGTCAAGAACACAACTGTCAGTGCTGATGTATGGTATTGGCAGATTTCCTCCTCAACTGACATATTGACCTTATATGTGGCATTATTTGATATGTCCGTCAGGAAGGTGTGGTCCGGAGACTAGGGCGTTGATATAAAGAAAACAAACACACACACCTTAACGCTTTCAGTCTGGGTATAGTTATCAAGGCATTATACACTCTTTGTGTGCCCCTTACCGCAAACAATGATCACTGATCAATGTCCATTAAATGAATCTGCATGTGTGTAAATCAAGCAGCTTCATTCCAGTTATAACATAAACATAGCTAAGCTGACAGGATAATAAGGCAGAACTAATTAAGCCATCTTTGACCAATATCACCGTCAAGGGAGCGAATAACCTAGACTTTGGTAAATAGGGACAATGACATTTTTTAAAATAATAAACTATATGACATTATTGTATCTCCCCTGGGATTTCCTTAAATTACGTATGCATGGTTCCCTTTGGATATTCCACTCTATAAGCAGTAGTGCCATGATATGTTCTGCTATCACAGCAATGCAGTTGGGCATTATCTAATTCATGCAACATTTAGACTTTGTTTCTTGACGACCGTTTCAACAGGAGAGGATCCACCAGGGAGGGAAAATGATTGATGACGCTGATTACAGGTGTAGTTTCCATAGACATGGTGATATCATAATAGGCATGCCCTGTCCCCATAGCAACAGGATCTAAAACTAAATGAACCATTTTAGTGCCATTTCATGTATCCGGTACGAGGGCTGGGTTTGTGTTTATTAGTTACTGCATCCGATCATTAATTTCAGAAGTTAGGGATGGAGAGCTTAGATTAATAATAATTACACCTGTTGTTTGGAACACGCGTTATGTTTGTGCATAACCACGACAACCTCATGGTGCCACTTTGGTCTTTTAGAATATTTGTAAATCGCAATTTCTTGTTATTTCAATTATACTTCTTGGTTTTCAAAATTACGATTTCGTCTCTTGTCATTGGAGTTATTCGGCATAATTGCACACCCACAGATTACTCTTCACACATGTTACAGGTTAAATGGACAACATGGCAACAATTATTTTCTTTAGCCAGTTGGGTTAATACCGTGTGATTTTTCAACTTTGTACACAAACTATTCATTCCGGATCCATTGGTCATATATCACGAAAAGTGGTGAACATGGATACCGAAACATCGCCATCTTTCAGCGAAAGTTGCAAAGACCATGACACCAATATTGCTCAAAAGGGTCAACATTCAAGACCTTACTGAAGCTTATAAAACGTGGACATTTCCAAATTTGAAGCACCAAAATATTATTATGTCTGATGCTATTCCCTATTTTCATATGGAAATACAAAGCTTTAATGGCGCTATATAGAAGAATGTAATAATCTTTAACGCTACGTTGAAACCCAGTTTCATTTCACCTCATAAATTACGGACACTTTTCATTTCTATCATTAATTGACAAGTTGCTCTAATTGTGAGAAAACTTGCATATGCATGCGACAAAACCCTTTCCGAATCTATAAAGATTTGCAAAGTTGATTGTATTATCTCGACTATATCCTTAGCATGTATTTACGAATCGCTGTCAAATATTGGTGAAACAGATGAGCGTATTCTGCCTCATCGGCGTCATCCGTCATACACACATGCAAAGGCAAGGTAATTATTACCGAAAACACAACATCGGAATGGATGGTATAAGTCAAGATTGGGAATTGCATCGGACATTACTTTTGTCACTGATGTGTCAAATTTGGAATGGGTTCAACATGTCTACCATACTTATATATGAGTGAGACACCCAATCAACGTGTCTTGTAGAAGCGACACATTGGCTGCCATTTGTTGTTACAGCGCTCCGGCACACACTCAACGTATTGTGAATGTTATCCAATAGTTAATTGAGCAAACGAATATTGCGCGGATCGAAGAAATAGAAATAGCTCCTACTCGGCAAACCCATTTACATTTTTATCAACCATTACACCATTACAACATGTTTATGGGAATAGGTTATCCCATCGTTATCATTTTCGTAATGTGACGCAGATTGTTATCATAAATGTAATTGAGTTGTAGAAAATCCTTTGTATCGATAGCTTTTTCTAACATCCACTTGACCACACTCCTGTTCTGGTATTGTCGTTTGCCAAATCCTATTCAATAAAAGAGACGTATGGTCTAAGGTAGGTACAACTGATGGTTCAAGATACCAACTGAGGTCTATAATCTGATTACAAATGTGCATAACAGTTCATATCTAACTTTTACGGGGTTAGGACATAAAGCTGTGGCCTTGTCATATTATAGAAGAAACTATTTAATTCACTTTAACAACGTAATGGCAACTAGTGCCTTTTATAACCCTCCTGAATATACGGGGTTTTGCCATATATCAACGGGCGTTTGTTTTGTATAAAGATCATACTTAACTCTCATATAAGATGTTTTGTGTTGTCAATTTTATATTGATCCGACCGACTGTTTTTAACGATCTTATTCAAAATACCAATACAAGTATATATGTTAGTTAATTAGTTAGTTAGTTTGATGATGACAGGGTTTCACCCAAAGAGAGACAACTCAACTCAGTATTTGTGACACCTTCCATTTGTAAGTGTGGACTACTTGAACCTACGAGGGGAAGCTATTGTCTACATTCTGATCAGCCAATCCTTAGATTAAGGCCGATCAGTCATTGTATCTCCCACAGCACTTGACATAGCTGTCACAGGTTCACAATGCACACGGTGATCCCGGTCTTATTAAACTGTAGACAGGTAATTAAGTCGTGGTACCTCCAACCAATGCTGTATGGTCCATTGCACCATTAATAATTTACAGTGAGAATTGAATATTTGTTCATACCAGTACCAGTGATTTTTCTGTGTTATATTGTTTTATGAAAACAAGTTGGCGTGAGAAAAAAACAAAGCTTTTCACTGCCGTGCATGACAGAGAGTAATTACCGCATATAAGAATCCTTTATGAAACTGTGGGAGATACATCCGGACGTGATGGTCTATATTGATCTCCTGAGGTCACTTATAAATTAATGTTTTCGCTTTCGCCGGTCGTCTATTTTCATATGAAAAATATCACAATGCACGATGATTAGCAATCGAGACTGGATGTGGTATATTAATCGTTCGAGTTCTATAAGAGAATGCGTCACGGAAAATCAATGCCAACCCTTTGTGTATAACAGATCGATAAATATTAGGAATTTTCAGATTTGGGTGTTAATAAGAAATCGAAAATTATAACACTCATTCCACCCAAAAGAACCAGATAACATGTATAAACGTATTTTCATTGTAGTGTTGTTCAAAATTTGAGCCCTTTTTCCGTCAAAACGGAATATTACCAGAATCATCAACACTGCCGACAATTTCATCACAAGCTGAGCCTCATATCCACCGTATAGATGAGAATACCTGCCTAAACTGTAAATTGTATATGAAAGCATATAGGAAAGAAATTGCTGCTGTTTGTATGGACTGTGGTCTTCCACAAACCAACTGGAGGTTGTTTCAGGGGTCTCCACAAACAACAGTTTCCATTGTGAGCAACAGGAAGCGGCATCCAGAGAAGCATCAGTGTGTTTGCAGTTATCCAGGAAATCTATATCTACCCATCAAAAGTGTAGACTCACTTAAAGCACTCACTACATGCTATGTATATATATATATATATATGGTTACATCGAAGATGAATTTCTCCACTAACCTAGGTGAACCAACTACAAACCTTATGCAGATGAAATACACGAAGATCATGCATCCAATTGCTGAAAAGCATGTGCAAATATCGTGCATGTGAACAGCTGCGTTTTGTTAAGAATTCGCCAACTTTCACCGAGTTTCATAAGTAATTGAATTCATGACAATAATCTTTTCAACGTTACGAATTTGTTTTACGGTACATCAGTTCATGTTTAAACAGTACCTTTAAATAGTATAAAATATTTTGAAAAATCTACTTTAGAACAGATGGCTGGCTATAAGTAAGTGGCTATATTTACACTAGTGAGTCTAACCCTCTGCTGGTAGTATATGAAGCAAACCCACATATGACACAGTACTGGGATAGCATGTGTGAAGGACCATGTTTTGACGAGGCATTTAGCAATATTCCACCTGTATCAATGAGGGGAATCAAACATGGACCGCCGGCGTAACGAGCAAACGCTTCAACAACTAAGCTTTTTCACCACCACCGGGATGGCAAATTTTATGATTTTCAACGACTTCATCAACAAAATTACATGCAAAGCAGCAACCCGAATTGTCAGGGTGAGACTCTTCCTAGCTTCCCCAGACATGGGTAGAAGCAGCGGTCGTTGTTTTGCGAAATTAAGTAAACAAACAATATCATTTGAACACTGGATACATAAAGGTGGTCTGTCTAAATCCGCTTAGTCAACAGCTAGCGATTTGTCGAGTACACTGTTGTATATTCTCGTATTGTCAGCGTTGATAATTAGTGTACTCTGCACACACGATATGTGTTTAGCAAATAGGAGAAATATAATACACTTTAAATGCAAACGATAGAAGACTTGTATAAACCTACAGAGATATCGCCACAATGAATAAGAAATCTATACATG